TTCGCGCAGAAAAAAAGTCGTCTGCTTTTGTTTACGAATTCTCGAGGCGAATCTTAAAATTCGATTAAAACCACTTAAGAAAACAGTGCCAAAGTAAGTCTTAAAACTCGCAAAACTACAATTAAGCGTCATATTTAATTAATTATTCAATTAAATCGATTAAATTTAGATTATTTTGCATGAAACGTATACACTGTAATTACAGTATATTATAATGAAGTTAAAAGTTTATTGAGATTTAATGCTATAAATTTGTTAAAATTTTGCAGGTGTTCATTCTGTAAAGGGAATTCATCATTTGGATACAATTTGAAAAAAGAAAATACAGTCGACCCCCTATAACACTGTTGATTATTCTGTTTTATATGAATTCCATGTTGTACGAGTCACTTAGATTTTACAAATATGTGAACCATTCACAGCCCGGCACACATATTTGTAAAATCTAAGTGACTCGTACAACATGGAATTCATATAAAACAGAATTATCAACAGTGTTACAGGGGGGTCGACTGTAAATTTAAAAAAATTAACAATACACACATTTATAAATAGTTAAAGCTTTTAAAGTTTATTGATATTTTTAAATCAATAATCATATATGTATGTTTGTTTTTTTTTTTAGCTTCTTATGCTGCTATAGTGACAGTTATCCTATGGATTGTTAGTTTTTTAGTACCTTACCTATTTGTAATTCCACGAAATCCGGATCCTTTTATTTCAGTACCTTTTAATACTAAACTTTTAATTTGTCTTTTACCAAATATGGCATTATTCTTTGTATGTAGTGCATTAGCACAGTTTGAAAGTATGAGTAAGTATTGCAAATTTTATTTATAATATGATTAAGAGTTTTTATTAGATATTTGTATTTCTTATAGTTAGAAACTGAAAAATGTTTGAGACAGTACCATCTAAAGTGCATACAAGTAAGTAGACTATTTTCAACACTACTTCTCAGATGTGGATTGGTGTGGGNATAATTACAATATATACTTGTAATATATTTTTCTTTAATAGCTTGACTAATATTTAGTTCAATCAACTTGTTAATGAATTCTTAAAAATTTTAACTTTTATCTTAATTAATTAATTTATATGAAATATCAGTATTTAAATTAGTTAAATGAGATCATGGTTTTTGCAGTCTCATTTATGCGATTTTTAAATAATGCGACCTTATAACTAAGAATAATTAAATAAATCTTATGATATGCTTACTAATTAAAACGAAGCGCTATACTTTCAAGCAGGACAATAACTTACAATTTCCCATTTTTGTTTCCTGTCAGAAGCTGTGTTTTTATTCCGATGAGAAAAAAATAGTAATAACTCATCTTTTTATATTAAATTATTTTACAGGAAAAACGTTTATAAATGGAAACTTACAATTTCCCATTTTTGTTTCCTGTCAGAAGCTGTGTTTTTATTCCGATGAGAAAAAAATAGTAATAACTCATCCATTTATATTAAATTATTTTACTGATTTAAGTATTTGTTTATTGTATTTTTTTAGTTTAAATTTTCATCTTAATTATTTAAGAAATGAAAAATCAGAATCATTTAATTAAGTGCAATTGAACTCAGTTATAACAAGCATTAGGGGGACTAGCAAGATTTCCTTATCATAACTGTTATTCATTACATTAATGAAAGGGAGTGATGTAACTAGGGGGAGAATGAATGGTTGCTTCAGGTGCAAACACATAGGGAGTACCTTATGGATATTTTGTGCAATTTTCCCTGTGCAATTCTTGGCATTTTGAAGTGCTGACTTAATGATAATTTGCAACAATTTTTTGTCATCCATGGAGAACATTTCTAGCATTGGCACTCTTGTATGAACTATTTATAAACAAGTTTAAAATACATTTACAGAACTTCACTGTTTCAGCTTATTACTTTTATTTATTTTTTCTTCTTTCAAACATTTGGCCACCCCTCTCATTTCACCACTTGAGGCAATTGTTTCATTGCCTCATCCATCAAACAAACCCTGGCATTTTGCATAGCCTTTGATTTGTTGTTTTATAGCTTTATCTAATCTTGGCTACCAAACATATTCTCTTATTATTGTCTTTGTCTGTCTGAATCCTTGGTAAACTCAATGGAAGAGATTTGATACCTGCTGTCTAAGAACAGTGGTTACTATCACCAGGTTTCTCATAATAGACGTCTCATAAAGGGTAATAGTATAGGAATTGTTGGTCATAAGTGAGACAATTTAGAAACATTGCATGGGAAAACAAAAACAATAAGTTGTCTGTTTCTTTAACAATAACAAAACACTTTATTTTACACTATTATAATGTTAATTATAAGAAGGTACAATTTGCAGAACTCATCGAGCACAATGAAAATAAGCCAGGCATGTTAGCATGTAAGCTGATAAGGTCACTGGTCCAATCTAGCTAAAAAACTCATGTATCAAAGTACTTCTGATTGTGTCATTATGTTTGGGTCAAATGGTGATGGCTATCACAACAGTTTTCTCAAATTTCTCTTGGTGATTTTAAACGAAGGAAGATCTGTTTGATGAGTTCATGAAAGCAAGTTAAAATCAGCAGATAACCCAAGTCATTGCGTAATATGCATCCACTTTCAAACTGATTTTTAATCACGGATAATTTGCACAAAATTATGGTATTTTATTATTATTATTGTATCTTTAAATTTAGGAATAGAAAATAATCACATTATTTGTATATTTTGTTAATAAATCAATCAATTATGCTGGTTATTAATATTATTAATTCAAAATTTTAGAATATTCACTCTATGTCATTTGTTTAAATTATTGGAAAGGTATATCTTTTGATATATGTTCTTCATACCTTTTTTAATCTATTACAGTTACTGAATTTAAAAAATATTATCAACATTTTTTATTTAAATCGAATGATAAATTATTTATTTTTGAAAATAATGATAAAATTTCTAATTTTATAAATCTGTATTTTAACATGTTATAATGATTTTAATTAAGAACAATTGAAGTATTATATTTCAAAATTCTCATTAATGAATGTTTTTGTTATAGAGGGTGGTACTTATTGGAAAGAAGTTTTGGAATCGCCAATACTTCATGGAGATGATTTTAGTATAGGACACATATTTGGAATGATTGTTGTCTCAATTCTTATTTATAGTGTATTAATTTGGTATTTGGATTCTGTTTGGCCATGGAAACCAGGTGTACCGAAACCATTTTATTTTTGTTTTATTGTAAGTATAAACATAAAATATTTTATTAATAAAATTAAAATGAATACAATAATTTATATGCATAGTTATACATTTGTTTGGCTTAATATACTAGTTATAAAATAAAAAGTTATTTTGTAAGGGATGTGCAGGTAAAATGGGATGAGGCTAAGATCATTAGACTCACCACGAGCCTTAACTCTATCTAGTTCTTGAGTTGTTATAAATTTTTAAGGCTAATAAAAAACACTTTTGTATTAAATGTAGGGATGCTGACATGTTATCAATGCCATGGGTGTATATATGATATATATGATGGATCTATATGTGAACTTTAACTTGGGCTTGGTCCTTCAATAATTTTTTATTTTATTTTTGTGAGAAATAGCTGTTAAAACCCTACTTTTAGGCAGAAGAATATGCAAAATATGTAGTATGAATTTTTATTCATGTTGACTTTTACAGTATATAACAATGACAGTTCATTGTTATAAACTTTCCATCTGTTCAGCTGTTACATTGATATCTTGTGTCTTTTATGCTTTTATAAATGGAAAATGAGCTTTCAGTGTTACATGAAGTGACTGGTACAAATTTAAACTAGCTGAATGCATTCCCAAACATATTCTGAAGTAACCTAACAAAAGTCAAGTGTCTTCAAGGTAGCTTGACTATCAAAATAATGCAGATTGTCTTATTTAAGAGGTCCTCTATGTAAAATAGTGCTAACACATCAAATAATAGCTAGGGAATTTGTCCAATGACAAAGAAGTCCATGCCTGATGTTACCCACAAATTCCAACACCCATGCCATTATCAGAATATGGATGATTATTCATTTACCAAACATAAACATGTTAAACATAAATTAAGATAACATTCTTTGGGCCCATCAAAAGGATGTTTTCGTCATGTTCCTCAGTAGAGCCAAATGTTTAATAGTATACTTGGTTTAGGAATGACACTTGAATCTATATAGGACCCTCCTTGCTTCAGACTGAATAAATAGATGCATAGGAATAAGACCCAATACAACCTCAAGAGCCCAGAACAGACATGGCCCCAGAAATGGCAAGGTATGCAGTATGCTGCAAACTTTTTAACGTTGGAAGTCCTTGTGAAACACTCTAGGCCACCAAACTAAGGAAGCATAGCCTATTTTGGGTCAAACAGCAATAGTAAAAATCCAAAAGAAGACACTTGGGTTGTAGATCTCAGGATATGCAAAGAGTAGTTTTGCATAACCAGAAGATATCTCTAGCCTTATCTGGCACCATCTCAGGATAAAATCCATAACAGGTTAGAGTCAAGTAATATTCCAAGGTACTTGATTGAAGAAGAAAAATGCACCCTTTACCACAGAGCAAATATATTAACAATATTACTGCAAAATTCAACTATTTAATTATATAAAACAAAAATTTTAGCAACTTTATTTAGTTAAATAAAATTTCAATGTAAATAGAATATCTAATACTATCTAATACTTCATTATTTTATATTAGATCTGTATGGATTTATTATTAAATAGAAATTTGAATAATTTTTTATTTATAGTTTTAATTGTATAATAATAATTTTTAGCCCTCTTATTGGTCAAACTGTTTTAAGAAAATTAACAAATATTCAGAAATAGAAAACATTTCATCACCTTACTTTGAAAGAGAACAACCAGGATCAAAACCTACTGTTATTATTTCTCATCTAACAAAGGTACAAAAACTATTTTATATAATTTATAATAAAAATTTTAACAAATATTCAATTTTCATTTTATTTTACATATTTATCATCAACTTTTATTTAGTATTTAAAAAGAAAAATGTATGAAGTGAAAATATTTAATTAATAAATAAATCAAGAAATTATTGGATGATAATTATAACTTAAAAATAAATACAATCATCAATAATATTTTAATTTAATTTATTAAATGCAATTAACTTTAACATAACTAAGCAATTTCTATTATAAATCTTTTTCATAGATTATTTTAATTGATAAGAAATTCATTTCTTGATACAGTACTTGTCAACGCACTTACATTTGTAAATTAATCTTCAGATAATAATTATTTTAATTTATTTTTAATAATAAACTTAATATAAAGTTAAATATTCACTATAAATTTATTTTAAATATATTAGATTGTAATATTTATGTGAATCTTAAATTTAATGACAAATGTTGATATAACAATTATACTTGTTTTGCAATTAGATCATTGTTAGAATTCAGCAATTGACATTACTAATAAATATAATGTCTATATGCATATATTATATTTCATCATAACATATTTTCTTTTGACAACTCCTTATGGAACTATTAAGTCACAGTGACCTCTTTCTACTCTCTCTTTTTTGCACTGATCTTCTATTAGACAAGTCATGTAATCTTTTTTGTAATATTTTGTTCTTTTCACACCTTCACCATCCCTGTTTAGTCTGCTACATAATGACAGGAATATTTTCATGACACTCAAATCCCTATATATTATCCCTTTCAAAATGGGCCACAACGTCAGTAACTTCATATATATAGTTGCCACAATGCATATGCTCAGAAGTAGACAGGTAGAAACAAGAATGGTATTGCTCACAGGAAATATGCCATCAAGATGGCTAGGTGAGCTTTGGAATTTAACTATGAACATCTACGGGCTGATGTGAAACTATTACATCAATGTGGGGAAAGAAATGTGTTGTTTAACTAAGAAACATTGCATATTTTAATCAACATAATCAACAATACCATTAATAGATTTACATTATATCTACCTGAGTTATGTGTCACTTTATAAACAAGTGCAATATAAAATTGAGTAATTAATTCAATTATAAGCCACCCAATGTTCTTAAATTTTTATTTAAACTCCAAAAGTATAGTTATATTTAATACCTATTGCACGTGTTTTTGGATTTTTAATTTACATGCGCATTACAACAGTTCAAAAGTTCATTTACTGATTTAAATTAGATGTGGTTATTCTGTGTTCTAAGTAGAATTTTTGTATGATAAAGACAATGATATATTATTGAAAGTATTTTTATTTCTTTATTCTGCTTATTAATAAATCATCATAATGCCAAAACTCAGTGTTTTCTTCCTTATAATTATATATTAGAATCAAATGTGCTAGAAAATCTTTAATATATAAATTAATGAAACTAAAAAATTTTCACTGATCTATATAAATTTACAAATACAGGGAAATTACAGAATTTCTTATAATGCAGAATGATATATTTCATCTAAGAGAAACAAAAAAAGTTTATTAAAAAATACTAATCCAAACTCTCGCCATAATTAATTGGGCTATTGTTCTACTGTAAATAATAATTAGAAACTAAGTAATTTCGTACTAGAGATCAACTTTAGGTGCTGTCTGTTATCTAAATTAATAATTATAATATATTTATAAATAATAATAATAAAAAATAAATAAATATATATATATACACCATGCTGGGTAAAGCAATAGCCAGCTGAGTGCCGTAGTGGAGGAGTACATAAACTACAGGCATAGGAGTTGCCCCCAGCAGCAGCATAAGTAACTGTAAATGGTTATATCTAAATTTAAATATGCTTGGAAGTGAAGACTTGCTCAGCGTCCAGATGGCATAACTGGCAAGTGCACCGCATGGTAAGCTGAGGTTGCAGGTTCAAATCTCACTTTGGGTTAGTTCTTTTCTTCCAGAATGTTCTATATTATTTAATAAATTATTATAATTATTAATTTAGATGAGAGATGGTACCTAACGTCTACCTTTAGTACCAACTTATTTAGTTTCTAATTATTTATAGCATAATAATAGCTCGATTAATTACAGCAAGAGTTTGGATTACTAAAAATTTATGACAAGTAAAAATATTCAAAAATATATGAGCATAATTATTTTAAAAAATATATGAAAAACTGAAACAAACAAACTTTATTTTGAATTGTAATTTATAAATTTTATTTTTTTAATGAAATCTTGTTATTAAATTTACATTTTAATATAAAATTTTTTCCTTGTTTTGGAGATTACTTTATATATAATATAATTGGTATTGCAAAGATTTTTCATTTGTGAATATGAAAGGAAGGAAAGAAAATTCTTTGCGTATAAATGTATACAATTATTTATTTATAATTATCTCAGTTTTTATAATATTATATAGTTGTATAATAACAGAATGATTTAAAAATTTGTGTAATAGTTATTTGTAATCTGATTTCATTGTAGGTATTGAATTTATTTTAATGTTTACGATTATTTAAAATAGTCCATTTTTTTATTATAGAAATTTAGAACTGGACGGAAATTCAAGACAGCAGTTAAAGATATATCACTAAATTTACATTGTGATCAAATAACAATACTTTTAGGTCCCAATGGAGCTGGTAAAACCACAATTATGAATATTTTGACAGGTAAATAGCTTCAAAAAATTTTGTTCTGTTTCAGTTTTTTTGATTTTATAAATACTTTGNTTAAATATTAAATTATGTAAATATGGTAAATTTCTGTACTATCTAAATAGAATGAAATCGTTTTTATATGTTGAATTAAATAAAAATAGAATTTTTATGAAATGCTATAAAACTTTAATTTTAGGGATATTTAAACCTACCTCTGGAACAGTCTTAATTAATGGGAAAAGTATTGTAACAGAAACATCAGAAGCTCGAAAAAATCTTGGACTTTGTCCTCAGTTTAATATATTTTGCAGCTCTCTCAATGTAGAAGAAAATTTGAAATTTTTTGCAGGTGTAAGTATTAAAAACTATTTAAATAATTTTTTAACAACATACTTCTGTATAAAGAATGATAATCTGATTCATTATGATATATGTTGTTTAATATTGTTATAACTTATCACAATATAACTTATTAAAGCATTATTTCAATATTAATTAATCTACATTGGCCAATTTAAATGATATGACTTCAGTTTATAATAATTTTCAAAAAAAAATTGTTTTTTATTTTTGTGGTAGAAAGTTTTGATCCTGAGTAGCCATAATAAAAACTTATATTTTTATTACAAAAATTTTAATAAATAATTGGTGCAACCCTTGAGGAGGATGGTTTGAGTCTACTGTGGCTGTACACCATAATTTATATGTGCTAACATTAATTTTTCTTTTTCCTTATTTTTTTTTGTTTCCTTCTACCATCTTTAAGCTGTCTTCTTTGTCTACTCCAATTCTGGTGTAAGGCTCTTTTTTGTCCAATAAGAAGCAGTCTGACTGGTTTCATGGTCAGCTTAAAAAGGAGTGAAGGAACCTTTTTGGATGAGAGCTGAAGAGAGAAGATGATTAGTCCAGTATAACAGAAATGTGATGATTGTACAGTGAGAGATCTTTTCGGTCTGAGAAGACTGAATCCTAGGTAGGATATTTTGGATATTTGGAGGTTCTTTTTCAAGAAGACAATGTCTCTATTAAGGTTTTTGATAGAAGAAAAAATTCTGGAACACATGCTCCCATCTTTGTTTGAAAAGGACTTGATCCAACAAAAAGTTGGGTACTTCTTTGTTATCTTTCTGTCCCTAACTCTCACTCACTATTGGTCAAAATCCTCTTGCATATAAGACTTAAGATTAGTATTAATAATTAGTTTTAATTATTTAGTCCACTTCTTTTGTCCTTGCAGTAGATTAAGCCTTTGGTTTTATTTAAAATATTCTGTATGCATTTTTAAGTGTTTTTGTTTAATTTTATTATATCTCACTTGAGTTTGTCAGGAGTTCAGTCCTCAGCTAACATCACGGGTTGTGTGTTAGTTACTTGTTAGGATTCCATAGTCATTCTGTATAAAATTTTACTTGTACAGATTTTATTGTTATAACCCATTACTTAAAATCTTACATCTCACACCACAAGGAATTGAAACTGGACTCCACAACATTGTGGAGTCCATTTCAACATGATGTACAGGGGCAAAACACTATTAAGATTGAGAGAATATATTTTAAATTAAATAAATTAAAACATAATTAAAAATTGCAGACTAACATTGTAATGATGTTATTGTTATTTGAATTTATTTAAAATGAAATAAATAAATTATTTAAATAAATTTAAATAAGACAGTTTTTTTGTGTACTTTAACAAATTCAAAGTAACATTTTCAGGGTCATAGGAGGGGGAAAAGTAGTCTGGCCCAAAAACAGAATGATTTTCATGATTATGGACAAGATGCAAGCAAGTACATAGGCAGGAATTTTTGCTTTGAATTTCAATATTTTGTGAAGGAAGAGACTGGTATATGAAGATCATCCAGGAAATATTAAAACTCTTACGGCAAAAATTCATCATGCAATCAATAACTTACAAGAATACGTTGTGTCACTTTATTCAAGACATATTTTAAAGATATGAAGACTGTTTTTGCATGAATGAGAGTTACTGGTGTGATGTCATTTTGAAAACATAAGTAGTAAAATATGTTATTTGATAATAAATATTGAAAAGTTAATAAAATGGGTTAGTATATTTATACTAACCCATTTTCCTCACAGACCAGGTATCTTATTCATACTACATATTAACTAAATACTAGTTCACAAGAGTGCAGATAATTGGTAGACAGTTATTTGATGGCATAGTCATCATGAATTTCCAACCCACCTTCTCATATAGGCAAATCCTATATTGGTTTATATAAAAATGACACAGGAAGTAGTTTACCAAAACTATGGAATGTGAAAAGAATTGAAAAAATTGTGATATTTGTTTATGAACTGTGATTGTATCTTATCATATGTATTTAATAATAATTGTACCATATTGTCACAGAATGACCGGCATGCTGCTTAAAAACAGGGGAGACCAGCATGATGGAAACTCTGGAGTTATTGTCATGCTGGTTAAACTGCAACAAAAATATAAAATTAATCAAATCTAACAAAATTAGTTAATTAAACATTAAAGAAAACATCCTTCTGAGTATGATAAAATAATAACATTGTAATTTGACTGACTTAAAATCAAGAAGAGAGTTTTCATTTACAAGACAATAAAAGAATTAACAACTTATTGACATTATTATTATCCTCTTAAATTTCATACAAAGCCAATGTTAGTCAATGTAAGTTAAGATAAATTACAGGGAATTTCTTAAATTTAATATATTTATTTTTGTATTTTTGAATCAAATAACAATAATATAAACGTTAAAAAAGCATTTTCATAATTCCAAGATTATTTTATGTTATAGAAAGAAAACAAATTGAAGAAATTAAACATATAATTGCAGTTTTTGATGTAATGCTGACAGTTTCACAGTTTTAGAATAAAAACTTGTTTGTTTTCACGTAATGTAATCACTCATTTTTTTTAATGCACCTTCTAGAGAGGGATGTATTACCTCACTTAAAACCAGCTTGCCAGCTTTTACCATACAGAAATATCTGATTTCATGGTCTCCCCGGATAGATCAGCATGTTGGTCATTCTGTGAAAATATGGTATTTTATTGCATTTTCAGTCATTAACTACTTAATATTACAATAAAATTTATTCACATAATTATGTGCTAATAAGATTACATTATACATTAATTTAAATATTAAATTATGTAAATATGGTAAATTTTTATGTTGTTCAAATAGAATGAAATGTGTTTGTATATACAGTATAAAATTAAATAAAAATTGAATATTATTTATAAAATGCTATAAAACTTTAATTTTAGGGATATTTAAACCTACCTCTGGAACAGTCTTAATTAATGGGAAAAGTATTGTAACAGAAACATCAGAAGCTCGAAAAAATCTTGGACTTTGTCCTCAGTTTAATATATTTTGCAGCTCTCTCAATGTAGAAGAAAATTTGAAATTTTTTGCAGGTGTAAGTATTAAAAACTATTTAAATAATTTTTTAACAACATACTTCTGTATAAAGAATGATAATCTGATTCATTATGATATATGTTGTTTAATATTGTTATAACTTATCACAATATAACTTATTAAAGCATTATTTCAATATTAATTAATCTACATTGGCCAATTTAAATGATATGACTTCAGTTTATAATAATTTTCAAAAAAAAATTGTTTTTTATTTTTGTGGTAGAAAGTTTTGATCCTGAGTAGCCATAATAAAAACTTATATTTTTATTACAAAAATTTTAATAAATAATTGGTGCAACCCTTGAGGAGGATGGTTTGAGTCTACTGTGGCTGTACACCATAATTTATATGTGCTAACATTAATTTTTCTTTTTCCTTATTTTTTTTTGTTTCCTTCTACCATCTTTAAGCTGTCTTCTTTGTCTACTCCAATTCTGGTGTAAGGCTCTTTTTTGTCCAATAAGAAGCAGTCTGACTGGTTTCATGGTCAGCTTAAAAAGGAGTGAAGGAACCTTTTTGGATGAGAGCTGAAGAGAGAAGATGATTAGTCCAGTATAACAGAAATGTGATGATTGTACAGTGAGAGATCTTTTCGGTCTGAGAAGACTGAATCCTAGGTAGGATATTTTGGATATTTGGAGGTTCTTTTTCAAGAAGACAATGTCTCTATTAAGGTTTTTGATAGAAGAAAAAATTCTGGAACACATGCTCCCATCTTTGTTTGAAAAGGACTTGATCCAACAAAAAGTTGGGTACTTCTTTGTTATCTTTCTGTCCCTAACTCTCACTCACTATTGGTCAAAATCCTCTTGCATATAAGACTTAAGATTAGTATTAATAATTAGTTTTAATTATTTAGTCCACTTCTTTTGTCCTTGCAGTAGATTAAGCCTTTGGTTTTATTTAAAATATTCTGTATGCATTTTTAAGTGTTTTTGTTTAATTTTATTATATCTCACTTGAGTTTGTCAGGAGTTCAGTCCTCAGCTAACATCACGGGTTGTGTGTTAGTTACTTGTTAGGATTCCATAGTCATTCTGTATAAAATTTTACTTGTACAGATTTTATTGTTATAACCCATTACTTAAAATCTTACATCTCACACCACAAGGAATTGAAACTGGACTCCACAACATTGTGGAGTCCATTTCAACCTCTTGTGTATTCAGAAATTTGGATTTTTTCCCATATATTTAAAATAGTTTATAGTTAGAAAAAGTCATTTTAATTTTATTCAAATAGAAGTAGAATAAAAAAAATTATTAAACAGCCTCCGATAAAAGGTCAACTCCTCTGTAAGACTGTTATTTTCCTGCAATGTGAACAAGGACAAAGAAGACTCTTCAATATATAGTCTAATATTTGTTAATTTTTAAAAGTTATCAATTTTGTGTTAAAACAGATGAATTTTATAATAAATATTACTATCAAAAGAGTCAGTTGTCACAATAAAGATATCAACTAATAAAAATGGCAATATCTTATTATATATATTAAAGTAACATAAGTAACATGATGAAAATGTTTTCATACTTTGGTAGGCATATTCTCATTCAAGTTGTTTTAGAAAGTTAAGTGATATGCAATGATAATATATTCAAATAAATTCATAGCATGAATACAATTTTTAATAAATTAATTTTTTTTAACTTCATTACATAAATTCTTGCAATAAGCAATTGATGAAATTTTATACTGTTGCAGTAATTCAAATTTAAAAAAAAATTATGTTCTATTGGAATGAAATCTTTGAAAATCCAAGTATTCCTGAGCCTTGATAATCCATATTCAGTACATAGTTACATTGTAAAATTATTAATTTTGTTTGTTTATAATCCATTTTCTGTTTCTGTGTTACTTCTGTGTACTTGAGGTCACACTTTAATATTTCCAAACTGTCTTCAAAAGAAATAAAAATGGAAGCTCTATCAAGAGATAATAGGCTAATTCACCTTATTGTCCATGTGAATAAAGGATTCCTGGTATGTGAGCTTGCAAACTCAGATGAACACAGAACAACAAACAGTTGTCTAACCTAGTCATATATAAGATATGTGACCACTCCAAATACATGAACAAAGTTATTACAACATGCAAGTACAGAATTAATTTAAATCATGATAATTTATTTAAAAAGTTTTAGTGAGATGAATCTCAAGATACACAATTTAGGCAGGGAAATGAAAAAATGCACCCCATGTATGCTGTAAGCATGTCACTAATAACTAAAATAATGGTTCATTGGCTGTAGCACACAGCTTGAGAATCACTACATTAGTTTAATACTTACATTTTATTGATATATGCAACTCATCAGAATTCTCAGTAGAACAGGAGCCTGGTCTTCGTAACTGGTATCATAACTATTGTGTACTAATTTTGTTTTTTTATATTTATTCTATTAAAGACATTTATTATGAACTGTGACTATTCCATATCTGTTTTGGGCTTGTGTGCTATCAGGAACTGACCCATATGGAAGCACAACCATATAAATTTACAGGGGATAATTACTAGAAATTTTTTCATCTTTCTTGTATAATAATGCCATTTAAAGTATGAATTTAATAAAATATAAAGAAGATGAATACAAGAGAATTAAAGACAAGATACACATATACACATCTTTGATGATTTAGGGTGAAAATGATGGTTGCAAAAGAATGTCTGTGGTTCACAAAGGATTTTTCACATTTTCTAAATATGATTTTACTGATTTAACAAAAGAAATGATGGCCCATTCAATAATGTATAAAAAAGCATAAACCACATCAGAGTTATCAGTGAAAATAATTCAGCTTTGTAATTGATACTATTGCAACACTATTTCTAAACTATTATTGTAAAGATTGCATTTATTTTTTTAATTTTGTATTTTCAAAATGTAACAAAAATGTAAATGTAAACTATACCAGTTTAATTCAAATAATAGACATGGCTATTTTATACTTCATATTCTTTTTGAGGTGACTGAGGGCAGTTATTATTTACTTTACCCCATATTCATTTGATGTTCTTTATTAATAAAATACTGTATTTAAATATATATATATATTATTTTGTTTTGCATTTTATTTGTTAGCTTAGGAATACAACAGATGTAAAATCAAATATAAATGAAATATTAGATCTTCTTCAGTTGCAAGAAGTGAGAAATGTTACAATAGAAAATCTGTCGGATGGAATGAAGCGTAAATTATCTATTGCTATTGCAGTTGTTGGAGGTTCAAAGGTATTTGCTTTTTTATTTATCATAAAATTATTAAAATCTACTCTTTAATATTTGTAATGTATAATTTCTAACTTTAAAATGTTCTATTATACGTAAGGCTTGTAAGGAAAGCTGGATTTAAAGGAAAATGCTTTAAAATTTTTTAAATAAATGCTTTTAATGCTTAAATTCAATTAAAAAACATGAATAAAATATAACAGTTTTACTTCTTATTAAAAGACAATCTCACAGAAATATCTAAATTTTCTTTTGTCAAACAGCTTTATATTATGCTGTTTTTAAATATAATTATTTCTCCTTACATCAATTTGCTATTAGAAATTTTTTCATTTTATAATAAATTATTTAATTACTTTTGTAAATATTTGAAAATTATAAATGTTTCATAATATTTATAAATATTTAGTTATTAGTATTAGACGAACCAACTTCTGGAATGGATCCACAGTCTAGACGGGTAATTTGGGAGACAATTTTGAAGTTGCGTAAAGGACGTACCATACTTTTAACCACTCATCATATGGAAGAAGCCGATGCACTTGGTGATCGCATAGCAATTATGACAGAAGGATCTGTTAAATGTTTTGGATCCTCTGTATTTTTAAAAAAAAAATTTGGTATTATAAATTTAAATTTATTTTCAATAATTTAGTTATTAGTATTAGACGAACCAACTTCTGGAATGGATCCACAGTCTAGACGTGTAGTTTGGGATGCACTTTTGAAGTTGCGTAAAGGACGTACCATACTTTTAACTACTCATCATATGGAAGAAGCCGATGCACTTGGTGATCGCATAGCAATTATGACAGAAGGATCTGTTAAATGTTTTGGATCCTCTGTATTTTTAAAGAAAAAATTTGGTATTATAAATTTAAATTTATTTTCAATAATTTATATCTTATTAGATTTATAAAAAAATTTTTATTTAATTAGGAACTGGCTATCATCTTCATGTTACAAAATCTGATATTTGTCAGATTGATGAGATTACTAAAAGAATTAAAATTCATATACCAGAGGCAAATATGGTCAGCAATTTTGATCAGGAATTGATTTATTCTCTCTCTTTCTCGTCGGAAAATTTTCCCGAGTTATTCAAGTCTTTGGAAAATTCATATTCTGAATTAGGAATTACATCATGTGGGATTACTGTAACAACTATGGAAGATATATTTCTTAAGTAATAAGATTTTAGTATTATATTTTAAAATTTTTTTCAAATTAATTACAATAAAATATTTTATAGAGAAACATAAGCTGTAATAGTATAAAAATTTTTTATGTAGAAATACAATTTTTTTGAAAATATATTTTATTTTTAAAATTATTTTCAGAATAAAAAAAATATAATAAATCATTCATATGAAATTTCTAGAAATGATAGGTTATTTATTATTTTAATCATTAAGTTTGTTTGTATACTTTAAATTTATATACTGGAATAATAAACAGCAATACCTGAAGGAAAGAAATCATGTAAACAATATATATCAGTATACAATATAATTTTTAGATATTGTATGATGAGATAATATCTTAAAATTGATTATCATATATCATTCTTTAATTTAAAAGTAATATGAAAATTAAAACAATAAAATAATGTACACTGATAAACCTTAAATAAATTCCTTATTTAAGGTTCATTAGTGTACAAAGATAACAGCTGATTGCTGGTTAATATGTAAAAAATCAACTGACTCAATAACCTGGAAACCAGCAAAATTTCATTTACTATTCAAGCAAACATTTTCATCCACTTTCAATTGGACATCTGCACCTAACACACTTAGTTTTTTAATGTCCAGTTTAGTTTTCATGGTAATAGAATGACGCTTGCATTTATCTCTACCGCTAGATTCACTGTTACATTTTGGACACATTTTTGAAGTGCTAGTCATCAAAGTTTATAAAAATTGCAAACAATAGTGAAAATGAATGTCATCATTCCAATGTTACTAACTTTGATGTCACCTTGTGATGGCAATGGAACCTCAGAATTCACGCAAAAATGAAAAATGATGATATGCAATAGAAATAAGACCACATTGATTATTTGTTATTGGCTAAAGACTTATCCCATGACTGGCAAGAGAACTTCAGAATATGCATGAAAATTTAAGGTTTAGACATATGGTCGAATTGTTTGTAAATCTGAAATTTTGTAAGTAGGGGAGTTCCTGTAGTAAATTTTTGAAATATTGAAAACTTTTTTAATCTTCTGAAACCGTGTTTTCTTAATTTCTTTGATTCACTAAAACTAGGTGTGTTACCATGTCGCCAAGTGTTGAAATGGTAACACACCTTGTGTTAGTGAATCAAAAAAATATTGAAAACTATAAAATATGGCAGATATGTTTTGTGAAAAAATGTTTTCAGCTGTCTTAAACAGTCATTATCAGATTTAATATTGTACACTGATGGAGATACAAAGAGATGCAACTATTTTTACTTAGTCATTGGTCTTACTCATGTTTAGTCCATTTACTATCAGCTTACATCTGGATAACATAAACGTTTATTTTTGTTCTAACATATGCCTTGCATCTCTTTGTATCTCCACCTACACACAATCTTGAACCCAACAATGAGTATTTAAGAAAGTTTAAAACATCAATTCAACAAAAACATCTGCTGAGTTTAAAGGTTTTCGTGTTTTATGTTGTATCTAGCTCATTTGAAGTGATTATTAATGTATAAATTGTTTGTACAGTATTTGTTTAAAGTGTTGTCTATAAAATATTATATTTTGGTGAAAGAAGAAAGTAAGTTTGGTTTAATGACTATTTAACTTATTTTGTGCCAGAATTTATCATATTATAATACATTTACATATGACTAGCTTGGCATTATTACAGAGGCAAATCCAAGGGGACTATAAGGGATTAAGCCCCCCACTGACTGAAAAAAAAAATTTTAATTTATTTGTTCAAACTTCAAAATGTTTCTAAAAACATTTGTTGTGATGGCAAATATGGTATATCAGACCATCTTCAATACAATTGTCAAGCATATGTTTAATAAAAGGTCCTTACTAATTATTCCTTTTTTGATTTTTGAGTTAGACCCTTTGGGTTCTTATTGCATAATTATCATTTAACATAACTACAAGAACTTAAAGCAAATTTCTATTTGTTACTTATTAGTTAAGTATTTGACAAAACTATCACATAACTCCATTAAAGAACATTTAGTGGTAAGTTATGCTAAATACAGTGGTACCTCAGGATACGAAATTAATCCGTTCCGAAACTGAGATCGTATCATGAAAATGTCGTAAGGTGGATCATCTTTTCCCATACGACTACATGTAAAACCAAATAATTCGTTCCAACGCGAAAAACATATTCAAATTAAAGCCAAGTAATACATTTAAAAAAATAACTGTAGTAAGAAAAACAAATGAAAAATGCGAACTAATGTAACGTCATATGGTGAGTTTTTGTTTGTATTGTGGAGCAAAAATATGTTCGAATTTCATGTCGTATCCTGAAAATTTCGTATGCTGGGGCATTCGTAACCTGAGGTACCACTGTATTATATTATTTATTCTTAACATGTTACAATAGTTACCTATTAATACTACATAAAATATTATCAATTTTGACAATAAATTTTTTCACACATATTTGTGTAAATTTAAGAATTTAATTAATTTTTCCAGTGAACAGGACTAATTAAAAACTGTTACTGAAAATTTCCTATATTTGTAATGGGAAAAAAATTAGTAATCAATAGGATGACTAACATGCCAAATTAATATATAATAACAAAAACAAAGACACTGAGTTCAGCGTTACATGCATTTTTTATCGCTAGTACTTTCAACGAACTTATTGTCGTCGTCCTCAGGCGAATACAGATATTTACCAAAAAAAAATTTTTTTGGTAAATATCTGTATTCGCCTGAGGACGACGACAATAAGTTCGTTGAAAGTACTAGCGATAAAAAATGCATGTAACGCTGAACTCAGTGTCTTTGTTTTTGTTATTATAGAAAAAAATTAAAATGACAACTTTCAAAATTAAGTCATTAAATAATCATTAATAATGAACAAACTACAATTTAAAAAAAAAATAAAATGCAAATTCTGCATTATTAATGCAAACATGCTTATTACTAAAATAAAATTCAAATGTTTCTCTGATTTGAGCATTTTTTAGATATTCAGATAACAAAGAATTAGAAATTCATTATGAGTTTAAACTTTTTTTTGCAAATATCACATTTTTAGAATACTTTCTGGTGTATTTTTTTCATAAAATTTGTTTAAAAATTATTTTTTATCTCGAATTTTATACACAAATTAATAATTGTCATATTAAAATTTAGTTTTGTTAATTAAATAGTGTTCAAAAGCTAGAAGATAATGCTCTGAATACATTCAGTTGCTATGAAAATGAATACACATCTGAATATCAAGATGAAAGTATGTTCTTTTTTTATTATTACAATATATTTGTATTATTTTTTAAATAATAATATATTTTGTTTATTTTTAGACATAAATCTGATGTGTTCTTCCAAATTATCCGGAATGAAATTAATATTGCAACAATTAAAAAGTCTTTTGATTAAAAGATTTCATTATACAAGACATAATTATTTTCTTTTGCTATTTCAAATGCTTTTGCCATTTTGTTTAATTATTGCTCTAGTTTTGATAAATAATGAGTTTCTTACTAAAGTTTCAGAAAATGCAATTGTCTTAGATTTGAAAACTCTTTTTGGTGATGTAGATGCATTTTATACTAAGGATTCAGAAAATGCAATAATGGATGTATTATCAAACAGTTATGAAAAAAGACTTAAAAGTGAAACTGCAAATATTATGCAAGCAAAAAATACTACAGAATATCTTTTCCAAAGAGCAGAAGATCTTGAACATTACATGAAAAAAGATCTTGTAGGTGCAAGTTTTTCAGGAAACGATTCAGAAATTACTATTACTTCTTGGTTTAATGGAATAAATTATCATTTGGAACCAATTTCATTTAATTTATTAACGTCATCTCTTTTGAGATTTGTTACAGAGGATGATAAATCAAATATAGAAATTATAAATCATCCATTTAATTTTCAAACAGATTTAGAAACGTATATAAAAAATGATTTTAAATCTAAATTGAGTTCCCAATTTTTAGTTAGTTTGGCATTGACATTTTTATCATCAGCTTTTGTGATATTTCCTCATCATGAACGAGTTTCAAAAGCTAAATTGTTGCAAAAGATATGTGGTATCAATGGCTTTATTTATTGGATGATGAATTTTGTTTGGGATATGACTGTTTTTATAGTTTCCAGTTTTTTATTATTGTTGCCATTGATTATTTGCAGCAGTCTACAATCGATTATAGATGTAAATAGTGAAGCAATTGGTATGTATATAAAGCTTTTAATATACATATTAGGCACTATATTATACACTAATAATTTATTTTAAGTATTTGATCATACTTATTTATAAAATATTGTAACCCTGTACACTAATTTTAAATGAATAATTTAGGTTATATATGTTGAAACTAGTATTTCAAATACAATAGTGGAGACTTATCACGCTGCTACTGGTAGATTAAAATGACACTTCTATCATCAGGATGAAACTTTATTACTGGTAATAAAATTGCATTCTGTTACCAGTAGCAGTATGACAAGTCTCTGTTATCTCTACTATTGTATTTGAGATATTAGTTTCAACAATTTTCAAGACAAGAAACTCTTTTATGACATGAGATTATATATGATTTTTACTGAATTACATCTTTAACAATGATTTTTACTGAATTTACTGCATCTTTAACAATGGGTAAAGTTTAAAGAATGCTGTTTCAATCAGATTAATGGAACATCTTCAGGCATGTACAGTTAAAAGTGGAATTGGAAGTGAAGTGGATTTCATTATGAATTGTCCATGACTGAAGATGACCCCATTAACCAGGTAAAAAACATTAGCATATTTTTAAACTTCACTCACTGCTAAAATTGTATCAATTAATTTAAGTAACTACAGTAACTAGTACAGGGGCGCCGCTAGCTGTTTGAACGCCCGTGTGCAATACCGATTATGCCGCCCCCTGTTTAACTACGATTACCTATGCTGAGCTTGCCAGAAAGGCTCTTTGCCGCCCCCTGGACGTGCCGCCCGCGTGCGGTGCACGCCTTGCACGCCCGCTTACGGCGGCCCTGAACTAGTACATCCTTACATATGTATAACAACATAAACATTAATCCGATTCTATTAGATATGCCAAACAAACTGCCAGATTATTTATTGGGCTGTAACATTAATTTAAATAAATACTGCTATTCCTGTCCCTCTTATTACAATGATGCAGATGCATTATAGTTGGCTTGGAGGCCATTGTACAATCCTGTTAGGAAAGGGAAGGAAATAAAACAGGAGGGACAGGAATAGCAGTATATATAAATTAAAATTTGGATGGCTAGTTTTACAAATGCTCAAAATAGTTATTTCTTTAATTAAGAAGGTACATTATATTAATCTGATTATTGTGTATATTGAATTTTTCTGTTATGTGTATAATAGTTTCTTAAGTTATATTTATATTTTCAATAATTTTTATTTTTATTTTGGATTTTACTAGCCATCTGCTGTTAAGAATTTTAAATTTAGATCTGTAATTTTGAATTGGAACACTTCTACATTTGAACTTCAGTTATAATGAATGTTCTAATACAGCAATGGCAAACCGTTTTGAATTCACATGCCATACAGTAAGCATAATTATCTTGAAAATGTTTATGGATGACAAAACTGTAGATTTCAAACAATGATTTTAATTAAAAAAATCAAATGAATATGTGTGAGGCGTGCCAACTGTTTGCGACTGTCAAGACAGTCAAGGGGTTGCAACAATTGTGTGTGTGCAAGAAATACTCAGAGACAGGCTTACCATACTTTACCATTTAATTAATTATTAAAGGTTTTCTTACAAAAATTTTTTATTCTTTGTTGCTACAATTCTTGAGGCAAGAGAGTCCAAACAGAGAGAGTCCATACATTCTGTAGGATGTTTTCTCTCGGTCCGTCTCGGAAGGTTGGTGAGATTGATGTCCCAGCTTCAAAAGGATAATCCTTGAGAAAATGATGAATCTCGAAGAATCAAAATAACTCCTGGAGAGCGAACATAACTCCAAGATAGATGGAAAATTAACAGCAAATTTGCATGGAAGAACCAAATTGTTGGAGCAAAAGTACAAAGAACTTTGCATCCTTGAAAGGCACATTTTTATTCATTTTTCTCTTGATTCCTCTTTTGATTGGATTGAAACCTTTCAGAGGGGTGCAAGAGAGGTCAACTTTGCGACTAAATCTGATTTCCTTCTACTAAATTTCTCTCAACTTTGACATTCTCCTCACAATTCATCTTTTGTTTTCCATTTTGCAAAAAAAAAAAACTTTCTTTGTTTAAACTAGACTTTTTCTTGCTTTGTTCATTTTTGAAAGGTGAGAGCTTAACTAACTTGCTGGATTTTCATCATTCAAACCTTAAAGTTCTGTGAAAATGTACAGTGCGGACAGGAAAACACAGATACGTTTTACTAATTAAACAAGTTTAATTTCGTGCTAACATTAATATATATACAGAATAAGTTCGGATTCCCGCTGTTTACCTACAAACGTTCCAAAATCCCGAGCGATCAGATATGCCAATAGACCGGTAGTTACTTTTCCGATAACTACTTCCCGACAAATCTATTTGCATGCATTAACTTAAACTAAAAGATAGGAAAGGTAGAAGGGGAAGTAAGAAGAACTAAAGGACAGAGGGTACCCAATTTTTCTGTTGGTTCTCCACCGTTCCTTGTCTTGTCTTCTTTCTGCAGCTGTTCTCCTTTTAGAACAATTTGGGTCCGTTTTGGGGTTTCCTTTTCTATAGTCAACAATCGGATTTTTCTTCCAATCCGATTCTTATGGCCTCCTTCTTCAGCGCTTCCCGACTTTCCGTTTCGGAGTCTGCTGCCGCTCGTCCTTCTCTCTCGGAGTCCGGCCCAAGAATGTCTAAAAACCTTTTGTTTTTCCATCTCTTCCTGCCCCGTTTTCTCCTTTTGTTTTAAGGTTACCCCCTGATGGGTTAGGGGTGAGGCGAGTTCTCGGAAGTCCGAGACAAAAGAACAAAGAAATCGGAAGGAAGGAAAATTCTAGAATTTTCCTTTCTTCCGATTTTTTTGTTCCTTTGATTAAACTAAAACAATACGGACTAATAATAATAATAACAATATTAATAAAAGAAAACAGGCGTGTAGCCACACTTTTAACAAAACTTTGACTATTATGTTTACCATTGTTACTCCCGGCTGTTAGATGTTGGAAGACCAATCAAATAAATTGCTTTATTATGTCACAAAAATGACTGAGAATGTGAATGTAAGAAAGTATTGAAACTTCACTGGAGAAGGAAAAGGTGTTCTTATTAAATTAATTTGGAAATATCCAACCATCAAAAAAAAAAAAAAAAAAAGGAAAAGTAGTTAAATATAATTCATAAAACAGAAGCAGATTGCATTTTATATTTTATCAAACAAAAAATTTAACAACTAGAAACAACACATTATTGTCATAATTTTGTTTTTATTCATATCTTGCACTCGTAAAAATAAAAAGTTAATTCATATTGGTACTAGACTTGCTCTAATTATAAAAATCACAATTTATTCAGTGAGGATTCAAGTCATTTTCATTGTTGATATGTTATAAATATAAATCCTGTTTTGTTCTTTTCTATACTTGGTTTGGATGTTCATTTTCTTTGCTAATTTATTTATTGTTCAATTAATTTACCATCTGCATGCAATTACCTCTAGCAAAAAGCAACATGAATACCTTTCACATTTCCACCTCTATTGTACAATAAAAGTTATAAACAGTAAAATTAACATTACTTTTAAAAAATATTTTAAAGATTTTTCTCAATAAAATAATTTTTAGACTAACTTTTGGTTATTTTAATTTCATTTTTATCATCAAGTAATTAATAACTGTGTTCTAAAGTTAATGATCAATCTTATCCACTTAAATGCTTAATTTTATATCTGATTCAATTAAAAATATGCATGAATACAGATTTGTAAAATTGGCACCTGAATCTGAAACTTCAGATCAGAATATAATTCTAAATGATTATTTTGATCTTGCATTATTCTTTCCTTTTGTAGTTGTCAAAATAAATAATATCTATCTATTTATAAATAATAATCAAAACATGAGTATGACANTCTTATCTAATTAAGTACTGAGTTAAGATAAATCAACAACAAAGGCATATATAAATGCCAAAATGCCTAGAAAATTAGTTATTTATGACCTGTTAAAGCCATAAAATAATGAATATCGTTATTTTAGTGCATATAACTTAGAAAAAATTCTTAAAAATTCAACAATTTTCAAAGAATTATTAATTAAAAATTGTATTTATTAAAAATTATTAAAAAAATTAATTTGTAAACTTAATTTAAGCGAAAAAATTCGAAAACTTATTATGATTTTTTTTTTAAATTAATGAAGTATAACGACGATAAATTTATGAATATTTAAATTTGTTTAGTGATATTTTATAAAGAAAAATTCATTAAAATGCATAGAAATCATCGTGACTAAATATATGTAAATTAAATTCATTGAGAAGAATGAAATTTACTGAATTTAATTTTGGATAAAACATCTTGACGTCACGTTTTTTGAATTTATTTTACCGTTAGGAGATGTTTATTTGTTTACAGTTTTTTCGAACTTTTCGTTTTAATTTAATTTTATTCTTATAATATATATTATTACATAAAAATTTATTTAAAATATACAAAAATTCCTGATTAACTCCATTAAACAAATGGTACAACGTTAATTCTATATTCAGTTCGTTGAAATACTACTGTTGCAATGGTGTAATCTGTTTCACACGAGCCAATTTTGTTGCGGGGAACGTTTCAATTGACTTATTTTATTTGAATTAAATCATATATAAGACCAGATAGGGGTTAGAGACCCCAATTTACTATATACAAACTTCTGGTCTGGACCAGAAGTTTGTTAACTTTATTGTTAAATGTTTATTTGAATTAAATCATATATAAATTTAGAACAATTGTGTAGAAAGGAAAATTTAATTCATGAACAAGTTAAAATAGATTATGTTTATATGGCTGACATATAAAGTTACACACCCAGATAAAATTATCTGATTATTACAAAACTCAGTAAACATCTATGTCCAGACAGTTATGTAAATTATTACAGTTGAGGTCTGATTGTTGGCCAGATAGTGCCACCAAAGTGCTTTAAAATTGCAACCCCCATTATCCTATGAAAGAAAGTCTACTATATTCAGAATCTTTAGTGTACCTTCTGTTTGAAGGTCTTTGAATGTCAGGCTTATCTATATGATGCACTCAAAGATATTACACATAGCCAATACTTTGAAACAGCTTGTGCATGAGCACTTCTTGAGAAAGACCATATCATTAGACCAAGAGAAGAAGGATGGCTGATTTTGCTGAATTTTTTGCCATCTGGGCTGTTTTCACCTGATTGTGTGTAGATGTTAGGGCAGTGGATATATGAGGCACACAAATATGGCAGGCAGTCTCTGGATGCCCAGACAGACCACCAAGAGAGAGAGGATTATCTGATTGAGAGACAAGCATAAATAACTGCAACAGCAGCTTTGTCCACCATCTAGAGACAGAGTGGAAACCTTGCTACAGAACCCTATATCTTTCCAACCATTATTAGGCAAATTTGAATGCATGGCAATTGCTATTCATCTTGCCATTAGCATCCCAAAATTGTCAGCTCTATTTGCAGTGGTGCCATGACAGAAACATGGACTGCTACAAAATAGCAACATGATGAATCCTGGTTCTGTTTAGGATTAGATGACCACCATGTTAGAAATGGAGGACCACTAGCTCACCTTTATTGTTGAGAAGCAGGCTGCCTCCACTGCTATTGTGCTGTTCTGTGGAGCCATCTTTTATGATGGTTACCCATAATAGTGGTATGAAGGATATTGCACAGCAGTATATTCAGGAAATCTGTGCCCTCATGTTGCTTTCCATGGCAGGGCTGCAAACAACTGTTTTCCAACAAGACAATGCTCAGCCATACACAACAACAGTTTCCCAGGAATGTCTTGTCATGTTGCCACACTTTTTACCTGTCCAATCAAGTGTTTTTGAGATTAGATGGAATGCCAACTTTGACCATTTACAAGTCAGAAATCTGTTGCAAGATAGTATAAGATGTTTGTGTGCCACCATGCTCGATAAATTGCTGCATATATCCAAGCAAGAGTAGGTCCTATAAGATGTTAATGATTCATTTAAATTGTACTGTTCCTTAAGAAATATTTCTTTGCTTTGATATTGTAATCACATCCCCAACAAAGTTCCATAGGTAACCATAATGGATATTCAGATATTATGTAGATATTGTTTCGGATCCAAACAACTTCCATCATATATCCATCAGTCATACACATGTCCCACTACTGGATTATGTGTGGCATTCTTATTAATATCTTAACCAAATGCATATACACATGATATTAGTAATCTATGTGATGTTATATGGACATCCACTGGCAGATTTTCAGGCTTTCCTATTCATAAAGAAACATGAATGGCAGTAATTACATCATATATTTTCAAGGAATATGAAATCATAGGGGAGCCCAATTGCTATTGGCCCTTGGGGTATTTCCTCTATTCTATGTTTATTAAATTGCAAAAATACTGTCTGCCATTTCAATTGAAATTATGTATTTTTGTAATTATTAGCTTATTATGAGCAAATGTTTTAACTGTTTTACATAATTTTGCATCAAAATTATGTAAAACAGCCTGTAATAAAAGATCATCTCTGCAAAGAAAGACTATTTTATTCCTGGTGATTGGAATTGAAAGCAACTTAGTTTCTTCTATATTTTTTAAATTATAAAAATACTATTTTCCATTTTTATTGAAATTATGCATGTCCCTGCAAGATTGCAACATCCCAGATGAATTATTGATATCCATGGGATATTGGGGGTTGTTAAGGTTATTACTATTATCATTACATTCATGCCATTAAAATTTCATTCAATTCCAATAATTCATTATCTTGATGCAATGGTGCACCGAGAGGGTGGGCCAAGGGGCTCTGGCACCTTCAAAACTATTTTCCTAATTAAAATTAATTTTTTTTTTTTTTTATATTGTGTTGTGAGTTCTATTTCTATATTACTTATGAATTAGCGGTCACATAAAATGGGAATTTTATTGAGTTTGCATTAAAACTTTTTATCCATTCAACTTGGCTGCCCAAGATTAAATCTTGAGTGCACTACTGTCTCAGTGCATTACTTTTTGTCAATGAGGGTATTTTTAAAATTACAAACATTAATTCTGCAAATAATTTTAAATTTTTGTTCTATATTTCTGCAAATTTTTGGATAGATATGCAGTGTATGTATATAAATTTGTAATATATAACTATTATATTATTTGTTAATATATATTTTTTTATTTTATCTTTGAAGGAACATTATTAACTGCTGTGTCCTCTATGTTTGTTTGGAGAAGTGATTATGCTCCTGAATCAAGAAAAACATTATATAAAATATGTAAAATATTTCCTGGTTTCTCATCAACTTTAATTTTATCTGATATTCATGAAACAATAGTCAATAATTTCTTATGTGAAAGTTTTGAAGAAGGTTATAAAATCTGTGATAAAATGAACAGAACAGAATATACTCCTTGTTGCCCATGTAAGTAAACTGTTTTTGAATGAATTTAATATTTATTTAAATTATAAAAACTTTTAATGTAAATTAAAATTCTTATATATTTCAACTAATATTAATTATTGAGAACATTTAATTATGTTGTTTTGAGAATTACTAATTTTGTTACATATTTGTTTAATATAATATTTAAATTTTTTATTTTCTAGCATAATATGAATTCTAAAAATTGAAAACCTTATAATTTTTTTAACGACAAGTTTAATTTAATGAAAAAATTCAATTTAACATTCAAATTAGATCTAGAATGTAAAAACTAGAAATCTAGAAAACAAACTTAGTACTGTAAGTTTTTATTTTCTGAACACATATTTGAGTTAATATCAATCCAATACACACAATATTCAGAGGATATTCAATATTACAATGCATTAGGTTCCTGTTACAATCGGACATTTCATCATTTTGTGACAATTATGTATTAGTCTAATCCATGAATTTTCTTACATGACAATCAATTGCAAATACATGGGAGAGGAGGCACTATTACAGGAGAAGTTCCTCAAATTTTCATTTCGCATAATTGCTATTTTCTCCTGATCATCTCATTGATTGAAGTGGAGTCCATTAACTTTTGTAATTCTTCTTTTGCACAGTCTTTTCATCACCTTTGTGTTCTTCCAGAAATGGCACTGAAAATAAAAGAGAGTCACTCTCTCACCACAAGTTAATATATACTCTCTCCTGCTACCTCACTGGGTTTATTGTCTGGAGGGGCAATAAACCCAATGGAACATTCTAGAAGCTTATAAACAAAAGCTTTGTAACTGAAAATTTAATTTTATATACAGAAATGGTGAGTGATTGTCACGGTACAATAAAGGAAAGTGGAGCAATATAATAATCCTTAACTTGTAGCTTAATGACAAAATTTAATGCCAATGGCAAAAAGTTAGAGATCTTTCAAATATGATGAAAAATTAAAAAGTTCTTTGTAAGGTTGCAGTCAAATTTTAATTTACTGCCACTGTTTGTTTGCCACTAAACTGAAGTACCTCAATACTTCAAACAATAAGAATTACATAAAGTAATGTGATCTAAACACAAGTTTCAGTTTAAGAGCTTGAAAGCTTTGTGATTTGGTGATGAGAATGTTGTTTGCAATGCATAATCATAAATTTAGTAATTCATAGATACTGAAGGGTTTTTTATTTTTAATATTTGAAGGAAGATTTGTTCATAAGTGTTCAGTGACACTTTAAGGGTGTGCTACATTGCAGTATGACTATACACACACACACTCACTAAATAATTGATCATACAATTTTGTTTACACAGTGAACATTTTTCACAATTATTAAATTTAAATTAATATGTGGCACCTCCTGTGCTTTTAGTTATTGCCAGACATGTTTTGCATTTATGCCATCAGTAGTGTTTCCACCAGGCCATTTTTCATCTGGGCAAGATAGTTTTTAAATTCATGATCCGNATTTTGTTTATTTTTATTATTATTTTATTAATTAATGCAGTATACAATATTATAAACTGTTTGAATATGACCATGCACATACAAGAAATCTATTAATATTTTCTTCTGTCAGACTGTGTCCATGGTCAGTGAGAATGTTTTTATACAATTAAAAACTTCTTTTGGCCTCAACCGTAGTTATGGGACAGTATTTCAGCAAAGGTACATTGGCAAGCCTAACGGGGATCTCTAATCTCTAATCTAATCTCTAAGCTCTCAGGGATCTCTAACGATTTTCCAACTAGACAGCTATTAACTTGGTGAAGCACAGAAAAACCACTGTTATCCAAAAGCACCATTAGCTTCATGCGAAGTTTGTCTCCACACACACCAGGAAGATTCTGTATAGAATCCTCTGCTGTTTGAAAAATTTTTAGAGATTCTTCAAGTGTCAACCTCTCTAGCTTCTAATGCTTCAATGATATCTGGAAGATTTAACAAATGGGCACAGATGTAAACCAGAGAGCTGGGTTTTAAATTCAAAGTCCAGATTAATTATTAATTTGTCTGGTTTTCATAGAAATTGTGAAATTATGATGAAACAAAATAAATTTATAAAAATATTTGTGAGTATTTTATTTTAACGGTTAAAGACTTTAACTTCACACCCCCACCCAAACTTATCCCCATCTTATCCCTAGACTAAGAGTGACAGAAAATGTACTTTTAAAATTCAAACTTGCAAATATCTCTGGCATATATTAGGTTTGCTCCAACACAAGTCCCTAACTGGTTTAAAATTGGCATGCGTATTGTTCAGTTCTTGGCTGTAAAATGACATTGCGCATGCCTCGTACAGTTTCAAATTCAAACCAGCCAGAGATTTATGTTGGAACAAACTTATTGTAAAGCAAATGTGACAGTTTCAGTTTATAAATTCTAAATTCTGACAGTAAAAGTTCATAAATTCTATTTTAATTATTTAATATAACAATTCAAGAAATTGAAAACCCAAAAAAGAGAAAGTGAACTTGTAAATTTAATAAAGATTGGCTGACAAAACAAATTTTAAAAATAGTTGCCACCTTTTCAAAATTTCAAAAAAGATGGCAACACTGGCTCTCAGCTTTTTACAAAGATTGGCCCCAAAGGGATTGGTTGTACCCAAACATTTTGTTTGAGTTCATTCATTTCTGCCTTCTTTTATGGCTTCCTCTTTGCCATCTGATTTTCCATGTCATTCCATAAATTTTCAATTCGATAGGCATCTGGAAATTGGGGACACCAATCTAATTTCATAATACAGTAGAGTGTCATTTATCCGAATCAATTGGGGACTGGGTGGGGTTGTTTGGATAACTTATTTTTTGGATAACCGATTATGTACAAAAAAATATATTAACCTATCCCATGTTGAAATTTTTCTACGATGCATGTCACTTTGAGTTGAATTTTCATCGATGTTAAGCCTAACATAAATTTTTTAAAATAATAATCATGGCTATTGTATTGTTAAAAATTATTTCTTTATTTTGTACAAACAAAATAAATATATTGAAAAATATTAAAACAAAAAATTATATTTTGGAAGTTAATCTAGTATCAAAAACGTTCGATTCAGCACGACACAGTCCAACTGGAACACTTTCAGTTAACTGACATTTCGGTTGATCGGCTTTCAGATAAATGATGCTCTACTGTAACATTATTTTGAAGATAATCTGTAACAATCTTTGCTGTATGTTTGGGGTCATGGTCTTGCTGGAAAACAAAGCTATTGTCCAACCACAGTTTGAAAACTGACTCCTCCAAATTTTTTTCAGGATGTTAAAGTAGTCTTCTTTCTTCATTCTTCCATCAATAACTACTAATTTGCACTGAAACATCTCCAAACCATCACTGATTCACCACCATGTTTAACAGTTGGCTTTACATAGTTGTAGTTTAATTTTTCTGTGCCTCTTCATCATATTGTATTCTTTTGCCCATTTGTTCTTCTGACATCTTTTCCTGTTCTTTGTTCTTTCCACCTTTGAGAACTTTCTTACTTTCTTAATTCTTCTTTCTTGGAAGTGAGGGACACTTCCTAGAATTTATCAACAATGAATACAAGGTTACTTGAGGGTATATATAGTGAAGGAAAGTTACTTTTTGAGCGGGTGCTTGAGGAGAGAACTCAGAAAGAGAGACACATTGTGGTGTCTGGTGTCCAAAGGACAGGTGAGACTATAACTGAGAGCCAAAATTTTGAATTTCCCAGACCGGAGTCAGAGTGGTAGAACTGATGTTTCAGTTCAACGATTCAGAATGAGTGACCTGTTTTTCGAATCAACTAGATGAAAAAAGAAACCCTTCTAGAACCGAGTGAGAGGAAGATAGAAGACAGTATCTGGTGTTTACAAAGCTCACACATGGTCCTCATAGTAACCGAATGACCTGGGTATTCTTTCCTATTCTGTCTTATTCACTATTTGGCTACTCTTCCCTCCATACTTTCTATTTCCTTCTAGTTGTAAATTAGTGTTAAGGAATATTTTTGTAATTACTATTGTCGGTTTTCTTCTTTTTGTTTTAGTTGTGAAAATTTTTATTGTTCTACCAACAACTGTATTTTGGGTGACTGTAAAAGTCCAAAACCCCTTGAGCTGGAATCCCCCTTGTTTTTCATGTACTTTATTATCATGCAAACTAAAACTTTTTCTTTTCTACCTTGCATGTGTGTTTTTTAACTCTGACTCCAACTCCTGATAATTTTAGTAGGCCTACTTTGGCAAAATTAAATACAAAGTCATTTTATGGGGGGCAGAGGCACTCATAGGGAGTACCCTACTCTGAACTCTGAAAGGAGCCCTGGGCATTTATCCAAATACTTTTATAGTTAGTATTTTTAATATTTAACTTACATTAATATTTATATAAAAAAATAAATTTTTAATAAATATTTAATAAGAGGAAATAGGGGTGTGATAAAATTCTACATCTACATATCTTTATTCTACAGCTTTTGCACTTCAATTTCACCTTTCCAGAAAAGTTAGTCCAACTGAAAAGCGTGTGATTTAGCTACATCAGCCCATTATTCAGAAAAGAAAAATATATACTTCAATCAATTAGTCTGGCTCATTCAGAAAAATAGACTACTTATTTAGAGCGGGGATAAGAAAGGAATGAATCAATAATATTCATATTCAATTGAGTCAAAATAATTTTACTACTAAACACATATACTACAAAGCATACTACATATTTAATAAATTAAATTGATGCATTTTGTATTTAAAATAAATGAATTATAACAAAATACAAATACATTAAAAATAATAATAAATATAAAATAAATTTTCTATCATTTAAATAAAAAAAAAAACTAAATTAAATTTAAAATGCTGGAGTTGGAGTTGACACATTTTTCCCAACTCCAACTCTGGCCAGAAATTCCTCCCAATTTCATGACTCTGATTCTACAGCCCTGGCCAACGGAACCCCTTTTTCTAAAATCTAACAGTTCTCTCTTTTCTCATCACACTGTTTGTGGACTTCTGCTTCTGAAACCACTTTATTTGGTCATATGAGAGAAAGTTTAACCCATTTGAAGCAGATGGTCCTCCAAAAGTGTGATATTTTTTATACTGCTACTGCAATATTATAAGTTTATGATTAAAAATAATTTGAAGCAATTAAATTATAAACAAAATTTGCTTAGGATAATCCTAATATTAGATACCAATGGTGATTAATAAATAAAAATAACTTAATCAAAGTGACACACAAACATACTCAACTTTATCTGATTAGTATGATTATTAAGAGATAAAAGACAATAAAAAAAATGAGAAACTTTGAAAGAAAACAATTGAATTTTATAGCACTCTCTCTGTATTTACAATTTTTTAAATACGGAACAAATGGATCAAAATATAATATTTTATTTAAGATGCAAGTTTTGTTCAAAAAAAAAAAAAGTTGGAAAAAATTGCCCTACATCTTATATGTGAAGTTGAAATCTCCATTAGGCTAATGAATTTCCCAAATGGCCTTTGGTAGGTTACAGGCAACCTGTACTTAGCCCAACTCTTGAATAAAAATGTTATCATTATTCTTTGCTTTAGATAAGCAGCATTTGCCTATATTCACATAGAATATTTTAATGGTAAATTTTAATTTTAATTTACTATTTTAACTCTTTTTTTTATCTGATAAAATTAGAATGCACAGTTTTATTTACTTTTTTTTTTAACTACAATACAGTAAAGATGTTGGGGCAGAGTGCCAAAGGAGCAGTATGGTTTAAATTAAATACATTAGATATTTTTTCCTAAACTAAATATTCTGTGCTGAAATCTTATATTCTATAAAATACAGTAAAAAAACAAACACAGGATTTAATTGTTAGCGTTAATATGGATATCAATAGGCAATTAATTATTTATCATGTGACTCTTAGGATGATGAGGTGTATATGAACTGTATGCTTATCCCATCAATATTAACTGCATTACATAAAGGACAATCTTGATATTAACTGAACAGAAAGCTAAATATTTTTAAAAATTGTCTTAAATTTCTGTTGTTGAATCAGTTCTACATTTAAAGCAAGAAAGAGATTAAAATACAGGTATCCCTTGCTTAATGCGTGAAATTAATTACGGTAATCCCTTTATATATGCAGCAGAAGTTTTAATTAATGCAGTCTTACTAGCTGTTTTTACTTAACATAGATATAATATTTGAAGACAATAAATTTTTTTAATATTTCAATATATTTAATGCTATAATTTTAAAAATAGATTTAGAATTATACTAATTTAACAAAATTGAAATTAACTTTCATACATATATAATATAGTCTATTTTGCAGCCAAAATTTGTCTTGCTGATTGTTTGACACGAACTGTTGATTGGGATAAGGCATTACCAGAATTTATTTTGCCTTTGTTTATTGATGGAGCCGTATTTTTCATAATACTAATTTTGATAGAAACAACTTTATCTAAATTATTAAATAAATGTACTGAAATATTTACTGTTATGAAGAAATTAAAACAAAAAAAAAGTAATAACATTTCTCTTGATATGGACATTGACATATTAAATGAGGAATCTCGAGTGAAAGCACTTTATTTGGAGCACAAAATTAATAATGAAGTCTTAATAGTAAAAGATTTAACAAAAACTTATTTCGGATCTGGTTGCGCTGTCAAAGAATTAACATTTTCTGTACATAAAAAGGAATGCTTTGGTTTGCTTGGAGTAAATGGAGCTGGAAAAACAACTGTATTTCGTATGCTGGTTGGTGATCTGATACCCAATTTTGGTGATTCATATAACAACAGAGGTGGTCTTCAAAACAACAAAAATAAGGTAATCTTATTTAATATAAATTATAATGAATTAAATTTCAGATAATTATTATTTGAATGTAATATAAGAAAAAATGAGAGAATTTTTACTTCACCTACATATTAATATGACCAGATATGTTAGTTTTTCACTTTAATAGCAAGGTTATGGCTGAAGTTTTCATCTCTAAAACGTAAATGTCAAACATTGAGTACCGCTTACGAGATAGTGACGTTCGACGCTCATATTTTAGAGATGAAAACTTTGGCCACAATCTCGCTAATAAACCATTTTTTGCTGCTGCACAAGGTTGTCTGTGGATAATTGAGTGATTTGCTGCAGAAGCAGTTACTTTATGAATTAGCAATAGAATTTTGTGCATGAAAATGAGAAGATTTAAAAAAATTAAGTAAATGTAATCTAATTCAAATTATTTTTCTTGAAACTAAAGTTTTCAGAAATCTTATTTGCTTTTTTGGTTACATGTCGATTACAATTGTGAGTTAGGATGGCCAGATTACAGCTTTTAAGAATTCTGTTCTTTGTCCAGTGGCATCTAAAACTGGACAGTAATTTTTCTTCGATTTTGAAGTCTGTCAAAAACAATTGTGAAGTATTGAAAAATAAATAAGATTTTATTATTATTAAATTAATAAAAAGTTATGATCAAGTTTGACTTTTTCAAGAGATCAAACAATAAGAAACCTATTGGAGGGTAATGACGTTAGAGCAGTATGTCTGGTTTGATACGTATTCATACAAGAAACAGATTTATTAAAAGCTTGTCATTTATGCCAAATTGTTATTAAAAGGATGTTATAAAGTGATCATATATTAGAAAAATCTGGATAAGATAGTATGGTAATTTTCAAATAAGACTCATCACTTATGGTTGATGCATTTGCTCTTTTATGAATTTCAAGGCAATTTTTATAAAAAAAAAAAGAACATTAAAAAATACAAGTATATACATTGCAGTATGGAAAGATAAAATTTAAAGTAGTGTACAATATTTTGGAAAATTTAGTTGCTTTTAACCAGTCCAGATAAGGGAGAGTCTACTTTATACACACACAGTATACATATAGTTTTTGTAAGTGCATTACCCACATATATTGAGAGGGCAAATCAGCACCATCTCGATATATATGGGTAGCAATGAAATTCAATCTGATTTACAACAAGCAAGTTTGATTAGAACTTCAAACACAGAACAACTCAAGTTACTGGAGATCCTTGAAATTTTTAAATCAGACATACAAAGGCTGTGTATCAACTTTAAGGAGGAAAAACACTTTTCCCAAGCATGTAAGACCTTATTTGATAAGTTGCTATAAAATCAGATTGTAACATCTACATTTGGGTGTATTCCATTGGTCAATCTTTGGTTTTAAATTCAAATTTATATAGCTTTCTTCTACAAATTTCATTTTCAAACATTGAAGCTTGTAGCATTCATTTTTTTAAATTTTAAATGCTGGAATAATCTAAACATTAGTGTTTTTAGTAGTTATAACAGGAATGCAGATACATGAAATTCTGATACTAGAGTAAGGGTATGTAATAGAATGAAAAATTTATATAAATCTAAATTTTCTTTATTTTACAAGTTAAAACTTCTTACTAAATAACAATATTTATAACCAGCTCACAATTGCTATATAAAGTAACAAACACACACAAAAAACTTTAAAACACAGCAGAAATTTTAATAACTAAAATGTTTTCGATTGTTTTTAATGACCATCCTCAAGTAGAATTCATAACAGAATGCCAAACCTAAATTAAAATGTCTATGTTCTAGAATACAAATATAAGCAATTGAACTGTTACATATTCTACTTGAGGAAGGTTGTTAAAAACAATTCAAATGTTTTAGTTATTAAAAACAATTCAAACGTTTTAGTTATTAAAAACAATTCAAACGTTTTAGTTATTAAAACAATATTTATGTTATTTTAGAAATTTGATATATTTTTATATTTTTTCAGTACCTATCAGACATTGGTTATTGTCCACAATTTGATGCTCTCATTGATCACTTAACAGGAAGAGAAACATTGACATTGTTTGCTAATTTAAGAGGTGTTCCATCACAGGATATTGATTACATTGTCAATAAAATTTTAAAGTTTTGTGATCTTGTAAAATATGCTAACAGGACTACTGAAACTTACAGGTAAATTCTAGTGAAAACATTGTATTTTGAAGTATTTTTAATTACATAATAAGTATTTTTTATGTTTTTACATATAATTTATAAATTTCAAAAACATGATAAATATTCATTAATATGTCTATTTTCACACCACAGGAAAAACAATTCTAACTGGCAAAGTTGTTGTTTTTATTGTAGTTCTTCCCCATCTTAATATGTTAAAAGAGGTACCGGCATAGAATCACTTATGGTTTTTGGCGGTTTCTCTGGCTTTTCATACTTACTAAGTAGCTGTAAAATTATTATAAAGTATGCAAAATAATAAAGAGTAGATAACCTAAAGTTCCTCTAGTGACAATTATAACTTTAAAATAATTCTTAATTAATTAAATCCCAAAAACAAATTTTAATCATTTTTTTAGTTAATCAAGAATGTTTTAAAGTTATGTAAGGTCCATCTGGCAATGATTGTATCTTTTAGCATATTGAGGCAGGGAAGAGCCTACAATAAAAATTTAACTTTGCAAGATAGAATTGTTGTTGCTATAGTGTGAAAATGTTTATATTTTACACCATAGCAACAACATAGCAAAAAAATACAAGAAGTATTCTTGTATTTTTTTGTGAATATGATTAAAATTTGTTATTCAGGTGTGTCCCTGATAGAATTTGAAATTAAGTCCTACAATGCTAATGAAGCATTTAAGGTAGGAGTTTAACTGCCCTGTTGGACAGTTAAACTCCTATCTTTTGAATGAAATAAAATAATATAGTTAAACAATAAAGAAAAATGATTTATTTAATTAAACAATGTCTCATGGAGATGATTATAAATTCTTGATGTTAAAAACGTAAATACAAAAGACATGAGTTATGAGAATGGGTTTCATAGTTTGATCTGATAAATACTATCCGATCAGCATAGGAAATGGCATTGGGTTGAATATTGATCTCTACCTCTTCTGTGGTCCATAAGATCTAGAATTGTAACCTGGAGACAAGGATGAACCAATCAGAAAATGATGAGGGATATCATTGATCAATCAGAATACAGGATCAGTGAGAGAACCCTTTAAAAACTTCTGTCTCAGGGACACAATGTTCTTCCTTAAGATCCAAGTTCTGTTCTCGAGGATTTAAATCTTACTTATAAAAAGTTCTCATCCCATGATCTATCCTCTGTAGCTGATCAGTTTTCTCTCAGGAATTATGCTCTAGTCATGTCAAAATTTTAAGTTCTCTGTTCTGTGCTTTCCAAGTGACTGACTGTTGGATCAACACCTCAGCCAACCACAAGTTCTCACCTGATCTTAAATTCAACTGGACAAAGTGGGCCCTGATGCAGAATTGATAAAAATCAAAAATTAAATTGTCATTAAAATTTTATGCTAATTTAAATATAAATTTACACATACAAAAACTAGTACTATACATATACATTTACATCTATTCTCTAGACCAGTGATCTCCAAACTTTTTTGATCATGTACCCCTAAGATGAAAATAATTATAAGTTGTACCCCCTATAATATAATACAATATAATGCTGAGTCTAAATGAATCTCACTCATCTGCAATAAAAGTTTTCAAATAAATTAGAAAAATGTACATATAAAATCTATGTTTATGAAATAAATTACTCATATTTTTTATGTCAAAAAAATTTGCTCAATTTCCACTATACACACAATTCCTGCTAAATTTCCTGCTACCTGCAATTTGAATCTTTCCCATGTATGATTGCAAGTGATCATGAGCTTACTTCTTCTGGAGGATGACTATAAGATTAGACAGACTGCAGACAGGACACACATATAATATTTTGAAGGGAAACTTGGCATACCCTCAAGTATCACTTTGAGTACCCTTGCGGTATGCGTACCCCACTTTGGAGACCACTGTGCTAGACTGAGCATCATCTGGCTGTTGTTTTAATCAGCAGACATGCTTTGACAATGCATCTGCAAACTTTGAAGCACTATACACACAGACATAAATGCAATTTCCATATTTTTATATTGTGGCCGTATGCCATAATTTTAAGTTTGAATATTTTAGTTTGTAGCTTCTGTCCTTGGTTCTTGTCTTTTTCCATTTCTGGAATTTTCTCTTGTCCTCATTTCTACTTCACTCAGTTGATGATTAATGTTCTGAACTGTCCCGTGGAGAGAGAAAATGCATAAGGCCCTAAAGGGGAGAGGTAACAGTTTTCAGACTGGAAAGGAGAGTTCAGACTGCAGAAGACAGTGCAGAGGAGAGGTGGATCTTGACAATAGCAAAGGACATAAGAATTTCTTGAAGGCTTCATGCAACAAGAATCTTGAGGCTTGAATTAATCAATGAAGACACTCTCCTTTGATCCCTGATAAAAGGATATGCTAACCTCCCCAAAAGAATGAACAAGGAAATTTCACTGAGAATCATCAAAAGTAATCATCTCCATAAAAAAGGTATAAACCGAGTATGGGTACAACATACTTTTCCCTTTTCTTTGTCTACTTTAATTTTCCATTTCATCTCTACAGATATAAGTTAGTTTTAAGTTAGTTGTAAGAATTTTTTTTTGTAATACACAGCTATACTCATTTAACAAAATTGTAAGATTTTTTCTTTAATCATTTTTCTATGTCACATTAGTCCATGTGTCTGGTCTTTTGTTTTCTTGGGCAGAGCTGGGCAAACACTCTAGGGTTGGCATTCAAATTCTTTTTTCTTTTGTGCATTGTTATCATTTTGTATTAAATCAATTTTTTTAATTATGTACATGTATTAATCATATTGTATTTTCATCCTTGCGGCTATTTGGCACAACCGCACTTTTCACAATATGCATTAAAACTGCAATATTAATGTTTATTAAATGCATTTACTTTACTTTTCTTTATACTTATTAGATTTGTAACAAACCATATAATATTAAATTCTTAAATAAGAATAATAAGAATTACATTTGAATCAATAGATGTTTAGAAAAAACTTGTTGACTTAGGCAAGGCCCTTTTGTCCTACGCCTTAACACACTAACTGAAACAGACATCATTATAGTATTAATTAAAGCATATATTATAGGTTTGATAATAAAACCTATAATGCAAAAGTATTCTATATTCTGAATTCCCAATGCAAAACAGTTAAAAAAAAATGCATCTCATGTAATTCCATAAGTAAATAAATTTTTGAGTGGAATATTAAAAATAAATTAGATTCATTTATAAAAAATTTGACAAAATTATTGTGGCATCGTCATAATGCAATTCTTAATCTTGAGTTTAGTAATCTTGCCCCTGTATATCATGCTTTTCCTTATAACAGTTGAGTTGTGGTATCTATCTAACTCCATTCTGGTGAAAATTTTTAAATTGAAATAACATGACTTCTGGTCTAAAGTGGAAGTTTGTATCTAGTTAATTAGGGCCTTCTGAACTTAAGCTTTCCATATCTGGTCTCAACTTTCATATATCTAATCCTATTCTTGAGATTAAGGAAGGACAGACAAACAGACAGACACCAGTGGGAATTTATAGATCTGCAATTTGAAAATTTCAGCTCACTAAGTTTTGTTTTATTGCATTTTAGCTTTTTGAATTGTTAAATTTTATAATTAAATATAACCATTGATGTAATATATGCAGTGGTAAATGTAAATATTAACATTTATTCATTATTTTTCCTTTGTTGTGTTGCTCCTGAGAGTAAACTTTTAAAAAATAGTATTCTTTACATCAGATCCTTGTGAATAACAGGTATAATAGTAAAACTACTATATACACAATTTTCACAGTCTTTACCTTAAACTAATTTACCTGATTTTTAAAACTTCTTTGTTCTTTCATTTTGCTTCTATTAACATAAAGGATCTTTAGTAATTCTTTGCATACACAATTATTATTTAATTTTATTAAAGTGACTAATAGAATGTTAAAATTTATTTTTCAGTGGTGGAACACGACGTAAATTATCCATTGCAATAGCTTTAATTGGTCTACCAGAAATACTTATTCTTGACCAACCGACAACTGGAATCGATCCAAAATCTCGTCGTAAGATATGGAAAATATTAATAACAATTAAGAATTTACTGGGGAAATCATTGTTGATCACATCTCATAAGTAAAATAATTTTTTATTAAAATTAATTTTAGTATTAGCAGATAAATGCTTTTGTTATCTAGAATGATGTTTCCATTTACTAATTTTTGACATATTTCTCAGACAACCACAAGTTCTCACCTGATCTTAAATTCAACTGGACAAAGTGGGCCCTGATGCAGAATTGATAAAAATCAAAAATTAAATTGTCATTAAAATTTTATGCAAATTTAAATATCTTATTCATAAGAGAATAAGAGTGTAAATAATTTAAATATTTTTATGTTATAAAATAGAATCTATGAGGGTTTCCCAAAAGTAATGCACAGTTGGCTCTAACTCGAAAAATATTTATTGAAGAAGATACAAGTGATTACAGGCCTTCAAAATAATCCCCTCCCTTATCAATGCATGCTTGCCAGCAGCGTGGAAGTGCTTGGATTCTGTTCAACATCCCCTTATTTTTGAGCATCTGAATCTGTCGGGTCACTTCTCTTCAGAGCTCTTTCAGCATCGGAAAACATACCCCGAAGGAGTTCCTTCAGCTTGGGGAAGAGATTGAAGTCAGGTGGGCTTAAATCAAGATTATAAGCCGGGTGGCGAAGCTTTTCCCAGCCGTATTTTTTGAGAAGTTTGATGATTGGTGTCACTGATGTTGTCTAGCACCTGTGTTAAAATACGATGCGTGCTCTTTTCGAGATTCCTGTCTCCACCTCAATTTCTCTTACCGTAATTCTCTGGTCTTCGTTAAGCAATGTTGCAATGATTGAAGTGTTTGTGTTGTCAGCTGTTACAGTAAACGGCCACCCCACATGCAGATCATCTTTGATGCTTGTTCGACCTTCTCGAAACTTCATGTGCCACCTCTGTACTGTGCTACGATTCACAGTAAACCTTCACATGCTTCTTTTAATGCGGCATGAATTTTGGGCACTTTTTTACCGTGCACTGTTTTGATACAAATATACGCTCGTTGCTCTATTGCTGAAATCCAATCTGACGGACTGTTCTCATTGTCTTTTCAAATTTTTGGCATTTTCCCTTTAAATGAATCCCACTACCATATGATAGCAATGTGTTTGTAAGACTTCAATCTATACACTGATGCTTCAATCAGCTGTCTACATTGCCTACAACACCCACTAAAGCACACTGTGCATTACTTTTGGGACAATCCTCGCAATATTATATTTAATATGGTAATACAAATAACTAAAAATGAAATAGTAATGAGCATTTATTTTACTATGACATCGTCACAATGCTGGGCTGCAATTTTTAATCATATTTTTTAATTTAATTTAAATATATGCTCTTTACCTTCAAATTAGCAGTGTCTTGCCCCTGTACATCATACTTTTCCTTTAGCAATCAAGTCATGCCGGTTATCTATCTAGCTCCTTTCAGAGGAAATTTTTGAACTGAAATAGCATGACTTCTGGTTTGCATCAGAAATTCACATATAGTTAATCAGAGCCTCCTGCCTGTAAGGTTTTCATATCTTTCATCTATCTAACTCCATTGTCAAGATTAAGGAAAGACTGATGGATGGACAACAGTGGGAATTTATAGGTCTACAATTTTTTCAAATTGCAGCCCAATGATTTGACAATTAAATTAAATTCCAAATTATGTGAATTTAATGAATGCATTCTTGGAACTTAATTGATAAGCATAAATTTTAATAAAAAATTGATAAATTTTTGTTGTTTTTGCTCTTTATATAGCATTAAATATACTAAATCATCTCAGTATTTTAATAATATAAATTTTCTATATAAAATAAACTTTTGAATGGCAAACATTGATCTATAAATAAGTTAAATAATTTTAAATTTAATTGATATTTTACAGCATGAATGAATGCGAAGTCCTATGTGACAGAGTAGCAATTATGACTAAAGGAAAATTTCATTGTTTGGGTACAATACAAGATCTTAGAAATAAATTTGGTCAAGGCTATACGCTTGTTGTCAAAATGAAACAGACTGATGAAGAAAACCAGATTACTGAATTAAAGAAGTTTATTGAAACTGCTTTTCCTACTATTGTATTGAAAGATGCACATCAGGTTATTAAATTAATTTTTTAAATTGAATTATTAAAATTTTTATTGTAGAGTATGTTTAAGATAACCTAAATAAATTTCTTTGAGGATAGAAATGCTTCAAAACTTTAAAAATGCACATATCTATAAGCCTTTTACCGGTGCGTATCTCATCACACTATACAATACAGAAGCAGGAAGATACGCTACGATTTTTGATTTATTACGAAACGGAAAAGATACCCCAGACAGAAATAAACTTCCCGGCATCTACACCATTCCTATCATTGATCACAGATGTAATAGAAACATGGTCTACATAGGATTAACCAAACGCCCCCTTGAAACCCGAATCAAAGAGCATAAAGCGGATATTAACCATGAAAGAACCAACACAGCTCTGGCCGTATACTCTTCGGACCCAGACATAGAACCCATATTCTCTCAAGCAAAGGTCGTACACACCACCTACCGCATGAACTATCTCAGACGGCTGGAGGCAATCTATATATGCTTAAACACTATTAAAGAGAATAATTGCATTAACTACAAGGAGGAAATCACTCTGTCGACGGTCTGGCAGACCCTACTAGATAAAACTCTAGGATAGAACACAGCATGTATAGCGCGCAAGTCCATAATGACGTCAGCGAGTTGGGACAACGTTCCGGATTGTATTTCATAGCAACTTTGAATCAGAGCGCATTCCATTAGGGAGGTCGTTACCTGAAGAAGAACCGTAACAGTTCAAAAACGTTTGTAACTGTATTGTATAGTATGATGAGATGCGCACTGGTAAAAGGCTTATAGATATGTGCATTTTTACAGTATTCCGGTGTAGATATTCTATCATTTGCTTCAAAACTTTTTTAGTTATTAAATGTTTAAGTTTTGAATTAAGTTTTATATTACTTTTTCAGCTTTTATATATATAACAGAGGGAACGTATCATAAATGCTCAAAAAATGACCCCCCCTGAAATTTTTACATTTTGGACTCGGGACCTTTGAAATTTTGAGAAATGCAAAACAATTTGGGGATTTTTTTGGTATGTATGGATGCTTGGGTGTTTGTGGCACAATTTTGTTCACCCTCTTTGAAGCTTAATAACTCCTGTACTTTTTATCAAAAACTTCTGAAATTTTGTAGGGAGGTTTGTGTATTAGGAGAATTGATGCTATTAAATTTTGATGATTAAAGGTCAAGGGGTGGGAGATAAAGGGGGTTGTGTGTCATATCTCAAGTGGGTTCGAAATTAATAACCATTTTAATGAATATTACCTTTTATAATTTTTTATAAAACCCATCCCTACCCNAAATAATTAATTAATAGGAATTCTACAGCAATTTATTTGAAATATATATTTTATAAATGTATTTACAATCTAAATATATAAAGCAGGGCTGTGGAGTCGCGTAAAAATCTACCAACTCCGACTCCGACTTTTCCTTACCATCCGACTCCGACTCCGTTTCATATACGTAACAAGTTGGTAAGTAAAAGGGAGTTGGAGTCGGCGGATTTTTTGATGATTCCGACTCCGGCTAAAACACCAAAACTCCACAACTCCGACTCCAACTCCACAGCCCTGATATAAAGTAAAACATTGAGAAAATCAAACAGATGCCATTTTAGAAAAATTTAATAATAAAATATCAAAACTATATTATATAAAAAACTTAAAATCCGAACATACAAATCTCGAGATCATACTTTTAGCAAACCGGATGGTTCAAAAGTTTTCATTTAAAACATGGACTATTTATGATGTACATGTTTGAATAGTAACCAGATAGCCACAAATGAAAAAGTGAACATTTCACTTCAAAAGGTATGATGTGGAAAAAATGTATGATATATCTGTTTCCTCAGTAAATGAAACTAAATGCTAGCATATACACTGTAAATCAATACATTTATTATAAATTTTATTTATATGTCCACAAAACTTAGAAGTTCTTAAAGGGCATTTATTATAATTTGAAAATTCTTCCTGGACACAAGGCTAAAATGAAGGACAAGAGTGGAAAAAAGAGGACATTTGGTCACCCTATGTATGTTAATGTGGTTTGACAGGAATGTATGTATTCAATTAACCAGCACCAGCTTAAGTCACGTTTTATAATTTACACGTGATTACAAAATAAAATATCCATTAATATCTATATTTGAGACTTTTGACTCACTCTGATGTATATTTTTGATGTGGATAAATATCCATATCCCTACACTGATAAAATCTTTCAAAAAAGTTTAATTAAAAATTAGTTTTTTAATGTAAAATATCATTTATTTATTTAACTTCGACCTTTTTATCAACATGCCATCTCGGCTTCCGTGTCACCCGGGACATGGTTATGTCAGTCCTGAAGAGGCACTAAAGAGGTCCCCGACCCTCCAGTCACACATATGTAGAAACTTACATATACAAAATAATAGAATATTTTACTAATTTTGAAAGTTGTTCAATATTAATAAGCTCTAAAGAGTCATAATAATTATGAGAATAATGTATTAACATTCTTTTTAAGACAGGATTATAATTATAAACCTAATCCTTTGTTTTTAAATATTTGAAAAGAATATTTGACATAAAACATGAGTTAGTAGTTTTGAATTATAAAGGGAAATCTCACATAGTAAAATAAATGTTTTTTTCCCTCATTAATAATCATTTACTGGAATTCTTAAAGCTGTTACTCATCTGTCATCACCTGTAGCAATGTCATAATACTGAAATGTAGCCAATTATTAATTGGCTACATAATTGGCTGCATACTTAATTTACATGTGGAAAGAAATTTCTTTAATTTGATGCTTTGCTTACTTTTCAACAGAAAATTAATACAAGAAAACTATATAAAAATTATCTAACTGCAAATAAATAATTATGATCAATAAAATTTAGATTTATGTATACAAGAAAAGTAGGACAACTTATGACCATTTTGACTTACGGCGGAAGTTGCGGAACCAAACCCCGTCATAAGTCGAGAAGTGACTGTATTGACTAATGCAGGCATTACTTTGACCGTAAACTGCTGAATATATGTACATATTATATATTATTTAAATATATACTTATAAATAATATATAAATTTATAATTTATCAAATTTCTATTTATTAAAATATATATAGTGTTATATGTAACATACAAAATTCATACAGGATAAATTTGTATATTGCAAGAATACTATTATCCCTCAACAACAATCAAATGAACAAAATGTTGAAACAAAAGTAATGAACACGAAGTACTAAACTTTAAAATCATCACATTGAAAAATCACTGGTAAGATCATCATCATTAGAATCTTCCTCACTAGAATGTTTTTGTATGGTTGAAGCAGATGACGGTTTCCAAGCGTAACATTTTATCGTTGTTGCTTTTAAGTAGCTCCTTTGCTAATAACAGTGTTTCACAGGAATCGGCAAGAACTCAATTTTGTAGTTTAGTTTTTATTGAATTTAATACGTTCAACTGCTGCATTTGAATGAGGAAGCAATAAGAACATCTATTTACTGCCAAAGTAAAATAAAAAAAAAATATAGAAATATAGAATAAAAATAAATGTTTTGAAAGGTATTAGGATGGTAAGATTTATCCTCCGAATGAGGGGGTGGCGCCGCAAGGAGAGCTAAGAAAGGTGTGTGTGTGTTTTTTTTTTTTTTTTTGAATGGTAGGCTTTCCTTTTGGGCACGGTATCACGTGACCGGAAATGACGTAGGCAAATTTTCGGACATATCTCGTGAAGGGTCGTGCGTAGAGGTATGGTTCCTTTGACTTTTTTGTTTGCACAGGGGAGGGATACATTTTGGGGAGGTCGCCACCCCTCATTCGGAGGGTGAATCTTACCATTAGGATTTCATGAAGAGTACTAGGAAAATGGTGGTGGGTATCTTGGTACTGGAACAAGTAAAAAGATAGTCTACTAGATTAGTACAAAATTACTAAGTGGAACAAAACAGGTGCCGCCTTTGTAGCCCTGATTCTGTTACCTGGCATCACTGCTAGAAGCTCCTCGATCTATTTCGCCATTCCTTCCATTAGCTCCAGACTCAACACTTATTTTAATCTGTGTTATTAAGGAGATACATGTATTTAGCTTCTTTATAGTATTACATAGCATACTGATGGGTTAAATAAAGGCTATAAGTCGCTATGTAAGGCAAAGAAAAAGTTATTTTTGGCTAAAATAAACTTACATTAGAGGTCTCGCATTATCTTACAGAGGATTTTTGCTTTTATACTGATTTATGTTGAATCAAATAGACGGTTACTTCAAGGAGAACCATTGAGTCCAATCATTTTTATTTTGTTTTTGAATGACATTCCTGACTTTCTGAGAGGTCAAACCTCTATCATAGCACTATCGTGTCATGATGATGGAAACAAATTTTTATGACTTTATATAACCCACAAGTTGTCCAGGGCAATCAATTTTTTAAATATTTCATTTTTTGTTTGGGCATAAAAAGTTTAAAAAAGTTATTCCCATCACAATACTAGAGTATGTATGAATTTTACGTTAAAATCAGAACTGTGGAGTCATTTAAAAATCTACCGACCAACTCCGACCAGGGGCGGAATTGTTACCAAAATAGACCTGGGAATTCTGGGCCGTGTTCAGTAATGCAGAACACCTAAGTTAGAATTCTGAGTGGCTTAGTGGGCAGAGCTAATAATGTTCTGAGCATCATTGAACGATTATTCTTAGTTAGACAACTGTGCAAAATGGTAAACAAAGTTAAATTTATGATTGCAACAATTGTTGCAAATGAACTGGTCGAAAAGGATGAAGTAACCAATACAATTATTCAAATGAAGGCTGCATAAGATCGTGATGAAATAATTATTAATTGTAGCGACGTATGATAATTTTACATTTTGAAGTCATTTTAGAATGAGTTAATGACTTAGAATAACTTTGTGATTGTTATAATAAAATACATTTAGTCCAACATGAGCAGCCATCTTGCAAATAGTACGACGAAACACATGAAGTCACTAGTAGAAGTTAGCATGACTGAACCAGCTAGAATTCTAGTGGTGGGAGGAGTCGAGCAGTAGTTAGAAACGAGTTCAACATTGCAGCTTAACTAGACTTAGCAAGAATTCTGCGTTACTGAACACGGCCCTGATGTCATCACGTAATCTGAGAGTAAAAAGCATCAATAAATAGAGTTTTCTTTATTAAATGGCCATCCAGTCATTTAATAAAGAATCGTAAAAGTTGAAATAATCATGCTCATAAAGTAACAAGGGTAAGTATTTACTTAAGAAAAAAAAAGGTGTCAACAGAATATGTAGCTTGAATTATGAATAGAGCAGAAAACTTTTTTACATAATCCAGGCAGTCTAGCTCCTTTCTCGAGATTAAGGAAGGACAGGTAGATAGGTGACGACAGTGGGAATTTATAGGTCTACAATTTTTTCAAATTGCAGCCAAATAATTTTACCATAAACGCAATATTTACGAGAACATACTTCCCACATAGTTTATACAATGTTTCCAAAATTTTAAAAATTTACTATCACATAAAAGCAATTATTCTCGCATTTTTACAAGATTTTATTTATTTAAACAAGTCATACAAAGTCATTAAGCTGAAAAAATAATATATGACCATTAAGTTAAGTTTCCTTTGGTCAACTTGTACTAGAATTTTTTAGCTAGATTTATGTACAGTATCGTACACGTGATTGTAACTACGTTTTTCAAATTTCCATCGCAAGAGGGCGCTTTACCTTAGCGCCATCTGATTTAGGCAGGAAGCGGATAGGAAAACATTTTAGCTTTCTTTAAATAAATAATAATTAAAAGTATTTCGTTTTTTAAAATTTTTTAATTTTATTTATTAATGATTATTATTATTTCATATATTTTCCAAACATGAAGATTATCAGGGTCAGTAAATTAATAAAAATATTGAATGAGAGAAATGGCAACACTGATGTCGTATTTGTTAGTGTTTTTCTGTACAGTTCGACGTCTCGATTAAAGTTCGAAGATGGTTTGCGAAAAATGTAAGTATAATACGACAAATTATTAATTATTATCAATTATTCAGTTATTTTATAGAACATTTTGTATATAATAATAATTTTGGATAGGAATTCGTTAAAATAAGTTAATTTATCGAATATAATTATCTAATATAGCTGACAATACTTCATAGTGACTGACAATACACATTCTTCATCAGTTATAGAGGGCGCTGCATTTTTAGAAAATGGCTACTTTATCTGACTAGTGAACCTAAAATTAATCATATATTACTGTCCTTTATAGTGATGTCAAAAGAACCATATCTGTATGTGCAACCCTCGCCTTCGTTGAGATACTCCGCATGTAGTCGTGTGCTTCGGTGCCGAGGATAACACGCACCACGATGCCTGGGTAGGGGCAAGCCTACACCCCATAAAACTATATAACATTGTGTACTCTGTGAACAGTGAAGTGGGCTAAATAGTTAAATGCAATAGTCTTAGCAGAGCGACGTGACTTGCAATCCAATTTTGGGGCCGTATCTCGCCATGGGTCGCTCGTAGAGGTATGGTTCCTTAGACTTTTTTGCGTAGGTATGTTCTACGGTTCTGATAAGGTCCCAAACGTCTTATTCGGAGCTTGAATTGAGCTGTTTTATGTACTATTATTGAAACAAGCGAGCGAGATCGTTCTATACCTTTTTGTGTTCTTAGTCTTCAGACTAGCGTTGGGCACAATCGGTTATAAGAAACCAATTATTCAATTGTTTTTTTTAGAATTGACTGATTTGGTTGGTTCTGGCATACTTCTACAGAAATAAAAATTTTGAAGTACCGTATTTACTTGAATATAAGACGATCTCACCATATAGGACAAGGTGTGACTTTAAAGATCAAAAAATTAGAATTGTATTAATAAAACTAATTTTCTTTATTATTTCATTTAATAACAAATAAAATATCAAATGCATGTAAATGCACACATTGTCCCAGAAAAATTACTGGCATCTTAAACTTCAAGGAAAAATCTTGTAAAATCGACAACATAATTTGTTCGTGTAAAGCTGGACAATCGGGAACCTTTTTTGCCAATTCTTAACAGTCGAATTCACTCTTCGTCGATTACACTTACGAGTTTCTTTGAATTTCCAAATAATCATCTGTTTTCACATGGGAATGNAGAAATAATTAATTTTTGTAATATTTTTCTTATAAATAATTAACATTCTATATAATACTTATTATGAATGGTATGATCTACTATTTTACTCAATATTCTACATTTTTATCACTACAGTAGTAATATGCTTAGTAGGAAAAGCAAATATTATTAAACTATTATTATGATAAAGAGAATGAAGATTGAATAAATGGTTAAATGTGCTACAAGTTTTGACAACAATCTTTCTACAAATTATGTTTTTATTCCTTGGTTATGAATACCAAAATCAGCCTTGACTACAATGTAAGCTTGTCAAGTATATCTAATTAGTTGTCCATAGTTTCTATCTTGCTTCTCAGATATGTCACATGTTCTCCAGCTAAAAAGAGACTTAGATGCTCAGTCCTTGCATTTTGAATGGATCTGCATTATATTTTGCATTGGGCTCTGCAAAATTTAGAGATGATCCTATCTATAACACTAAGACTATGGAGTATTTTTGTGAACCACAAAACTTTTATTTAATATTTAGTATAGGTATTTACAGAAGACTATCTCTAAAGTGAGTTCTATCTGCAGCTACACATTTCTTCCACTGTCCATACTATTTATCAAGAAGTTCCAAAAGCAAATTTTTGTAATATCTTTAAGAGTTTTCTTCACATTCAGCTTCCATCAGTATTCTTAGGTAATTAATATATCACAAAGAAAGGCATAAGAATGGTTTCTCAACCTCGTTTTTCCTCGATCTTATCCTCAAAGACTTTTGTCTATTTCCTAAAATGAAAGAGGATTGGTTTTCAGTAGCAGCTGCAGAGGTGGAAACAATAGCAATGATAGTCCACAAAGACATTATAAAAAAACAGCTTTCCAGGATTGCTTTTACATTGGTATGGATGCAAGCAAAAGTTTGTAGCTACTGTAGAAAGTTATTTTGAATATGAAGTGTTGTAAGTTTCAAACAAAAGTATTGTGTGCCGAAGTTGTTCCAAAAGTTTATTTTTATTTTTCACTATAACTATAACTTACTTTTCTTGTCAGTTATATTTATATATATCTCACAAATCAGATAAAGAAGACTGATTTATTTCAAATTTTTTCTAAAATTACTCTACTAAGAAATGAAAAAATAAAATGGCTTTATGTGTTTGCAGGGATGCTTTGTTTCAGATGTTTGTATTGTACATTGCATATCTGAACTTTAAATGACAGTATCTTCTTATTATAAAGTAATTAAAGCAAATATACATATTAAAATAACTACATTTAATATCTACAGATTATCTGTACACACAAAAAGCCATTTTATTTTTTCATTAATTAGTAAGAGTAATTCTAGGAAAAAAATTGAAAGAAATTAGGTATTCCTACTCAAGAGACTTCTTATTAGCAGAAAAAAATATATTTGATATTTTCTCATCCCATATACTTGCTTTGAATAACTAATTTGATATCATTAAAGGAATGTCTTTTAAATTGAGGAATTACTCTAATGCAATGTAAAGGCACCGAATGTTTGAAGCTATTTATATTAAAAATGTAGATTTAGCTGCCACATTGCAAATAAATCAGATATTAAATTTTAAATCTTACAACTAATTAATAATTACTTGTGATTCAATTAGAACATTGAATATTTGCTAATTATAGTATTTCTCATTTTCAGGATACTCTTCAATATCATTTATCAGACGTGTCTATGAAATTGAGTAGAATATTCTCTTTTATGGAAGAAGTAAAACAAAAATTTACTTTAGAAGATTATCTCATTAGCGATACTACATTAGAACAGATTTTCGTAGCATTTGCCAGATCGACTTAGATGATATCGACCTTACAAGTATTTTTTAATAATGTATTCTATCATTATTTATTTAAATGGTAACTTAAAATTAACTAAATGATTTGTTTGAAACATATATATTATAATTATGTATTCATTGCTATGAAACCGTGGTGTCTCTAGGGGTACATATCTGGTGTCACCTGTGACATCATAAGATGTGGATGACACTGAAATGACTAAAATTTTTGCGCAATGTTTCAACAGAAATTTTTTATTTTTAAAAACTATCCCTGTAGTTGCTTATAACAATAAAAACATTGTTTGTATGTAAGCCCAGTTTATGTGTGTCAGTATTAATATAGCTGAATTGTTAAAACACTAAGCTAATTTACTTTTTGAACTTGTCATTATTACCAAATTATAATAAAAAATACAAAAATGTTTTACATTCTATAAATACGATCATAAAAATAAATAAATAAATGTAAATACATGTGGGCCATGCATGCGATATTGTTATTTAAAGGTTTAATTTTAATTTTCTTAGTTGTTTATGCAATTACATTTAGTAATATGTAGGAAATATTGTGGTGATGCAGGTTAATGAAAACCACATGTTATAAACAATATACATTAAACCATCTTTCATTTAGGAATACAATGACAATATCAATTTATTTTCTCTTCACAGTAACTTACAATATTCTCCTTTCTGTTGCCCGTTCTTAACAGTATTATTTGTTTTCCCAACAATTATGCATCCCGAAGCTAGTGTGCGGAAAATCCGTTTCCATCGTGTTATATTACTAATTAAAACTAAATTATTTTAGATTAATACTAGTACTAATATAATTACAGAAGGAAGGAAAATTAAGTTGCTTACGATATTGAATCAATTTGAATCAAAACCAAAACATATACAGGATCATCCATAATAATAATGAAAAATGTGCCTAAAAATCAAGAAAAGGAAATTGAACCAGCATAGCCAACAAATGCGGTGGAGACAGAATAATAGAAAATTACCACAACCACAAAGAAGACAGAAAGACTATTTACAAGGTTTTTACCGGATTTGTTTAGTATTGTTGCGTTACTGTCCTAGTGATAATTTAAAATCATATTAATAAGATGTAATAATTGTACTATTAACGTATATTATAATGTTGGCAATTGTCACCATATATTCTGTGTCTTGTATGTCATCCAATTATAAGGGCCAGTAAGGCCAAAATGCAATTTGGTTAAGTTAATTAAATAGGCTGGATGTGTAATAAGCCTGTTCATTAGTCATAGTAACATTTCAAATTGCAAAATTCATTCATGGAATAAAGATCAAATTAAAAAATTAAATAAATAAATATTTTTTTTGTATAAAAATTTATAGTTTTTAAGAATTGGAATTGTCTGATCATAGTTTAATTTTAAATGTTTCCATATTAAAGTTGCAATACTGTAATACAGAGTATAATAAATTTAATTGAATAATATTTTCAAATTTAATAAATTCTTGTTTATTATAAATTCTTTTTATAATAAATTCACCTGTACATATTTACAAATATTTTTTTGTGGTTAACTGTCATCATCATCAATGATTATTTTCTCTTCTGCGTCATCATTTATATTTTCTGATAGAGTTACAACACAATTATAATTATTGCCTTCTGTTATGTTGTCTTCAAATATATCCTTTTCTGCCAGATTATCCATTTTTAGTCTAAAAATATAGAAAAAAATGCTTTATTTCTTAGTTTATTATGAATATTTTAATTTTGAAGATAATTTAAATTATTATTTTATATGAAGTTAATATTTATAATTAAAATGAACTTACCTCATATTATATTTAGGATGATTACATTTAATTGCTTTCCTTACAAACCCTTTCTGATCTAATTAAACAATAGAAATGTGTTGAATATACAATTTCAAATTATTATTTTAAAGATTTCACAACTAACACTACTTTAGAAATGTTATTTATTACTATTATTAATAAATAAAATAATTAATTAATAGGAATTCTACAGCAATTTATTTGAAATATATATTTTATAAATGTATTTACAATCTAAATATATAAAGCAGGGCTGTGGAGTCGCGTAAAAATCTACCAACTCCGACTCCGACTTTTCCTTACCATCCGACTCCGACTCCGTTTCATATACGTAACAAGTTGGTAAGTAAAAGGGAGTTGGAGTCGGCGGATTTTTTGATGATTCCGACTCCGGCTAAAACACCAAAACTCCACAACTCCGACTCCAACTCCACAGCCCTGATATAAAGTAAAACATTGAGAAAATCAAACAGATGCCATTTTAGAAAAATTTAATAATAAAATATCAAAACTATATTATATAAAAAACTTAAAATCCGAACATACAAATCTCGAGATCATACTTTTAGCAAACCGGATGGTTCAAAAGTTTTCATTTAAAACATGGACTATTTATGATGTACATGTTTGAATAGTAACCAGATAGCCACAAATGAAAAAGTGAACATTTCACTTCAAAAGGTATGATGTGGAAAAAATGTATGATATATCTGTTTCCTCAGTAAATGAAACTAAATGCTAGCATATACACTGTAAATCAATACATTTATTATAAATTTTATTTATATGTCCACAAAACTTAGAAGTTCTTAAAGGGCATTTATTATAATTTGAAAATTCTTCCTGGACACAAGGCTAAAATGAAGGACAAGAGTGGAAAAAAGAGGACATTTGGTCACCCTATGTATGTTAATGTGGTTTGACAGGAATGTATGTATTCAATTAACCAGCACCAGCTTAAGTCACGTTTTATAATTTACACGTGATTACAAAATAAAATATCCATTAATATCTATATTTGAGACTTTTGACTCACTCTGATGTATATTTTTGATGTGGATAAATATCCATATCCCTACACTGATAAAATCTTTCAAAAAAGTTTAATTAAAAATTAGTTTTTTAATGTAAAATATCATTTATTTATTTAACTTCGACCTTTTTATCAACATGCCATCTCGGCTTCCGTGTCACCCGGGACATGGTTATGTCAGTCCTGAAGAGGCACTAAAGAGGTCCCTGACCCTCCAGTCACACATATGTAGAAACTTACATATACAAAATAATAGAATATTTTACTAATTTTGAAAGTTGTTCAATATTAATAAGCTCTAAAGAGTCATAATAATTATGAGAATAATGTATTAACATTCTTTTTAAGACAGGATTATAATTATAAACCTAATCCTTTGTTTTTAAATATTTGAAAAGAATATTTGACATAAAACATGAGTTAGTAGTTTTGAATTATAAAGGGAAATCTCACATAGTAAAATAAATGTTTTTTTCCCTCATTAATAATCATTTACTGGAATTCTTAAAGCTGTTACTCATCTGTCATCACCTGTAGCAATGTCATAATACTGAAATGTAGCCAATTATTAATTGGCTACATAATTGGCTGCATACTTAATTTACATGTGGAAAGAAATTTCTTTAATTTGATGCTTTGCTTACTTTTCAACAGAAAATTAATACAAGAAAACTATATAAAAATTATCTAACTGCAAATAAATAATTATAATCAATAAAATTTAGATTTATGTATACAAGAAAAGTAGGACAACTTATGACCATTTTGACTTACGGCGGAAGTTGCGGAACCAAACCCCGTCATAAGTCGAGAAGTGACTGTATTGACTAATGCAGGCATTACTTTGACCGTAAACTGCTGAATATATGTACATATTATATATTATTTAAATATATACTTATAAATAATATATAAATTTATAATTTTTCAAATTTCTATTTATTAAAATATATATAGTGTTACATGTTACATACAAAATTCACACAGGCTAAATTCATATATTGCAAGAATGCTATTATTCTTCAACAACAATCAAATAAACAAAATGTTGAAAAAAGTAATGAACACAAAGTACTAAACTTTAAAATTATCACCTTGAAAAATCACTGGTAAGATCATCATCATCAGAATCTTCCTCACTGGAATGTTTTTGTATGGTTGAAGCAGATAGTGATTTCCTGTGTAACATTTATCTTTGTTGCTTTTAAGTAGCTTCTTTGCTAATAACAGTGCTTCAAGGCATAGGTAAAAACTCGATTTTGTATAGTTTTTATTAAATGTAATTGTAAAAAATACGTTCAACTGCTGCACTTGAATGAGGAAGCAATAAAAAAAAATCTATTTACTGCCAAAGTAAAGTAAAATAATACAGAAATATAGAATAAAAATGAATGTTTTGAAAGGAAAGGTATTAGGATTTTATGAATGGTACTAGAAATATGGTGTTGGGTATCTTGGTGCTATGACAAGCAGATTAGTACAAAAGTACTAGGTAAAACAACACCTAGTACAAAAGTAGCCCAAAAGTAGCCAACTGTTCCTGCAGTTGGCTACTTTTGGGCTACTTTTTAAAAATTATTTGGCTACAAGGACAAAAAACATCTGGCAACGCTGGGTTGTACTGCGTGTACTGTACAAGGAG